TTTTCACCATACCGGAGGCGTATACCGTTCGCTTCCTAAGTTTGGTAATATTGAAATACAGCCAGCAAATTGAATTTTTGGATATGTGAAGAAAATATGTAAAAGTTATATTTTAATATATAATAACTTCTGGACCCGTGCGAAATTTAATTTTCGCACAGTACCATGGTCAGTAATTTTAATAATGCTCAAATAAGTATGTATCAATGAAAGTTATCTTATTATTAAGAATAACGGTAAAAACACACTTCTCTGTAGGCCAGTTGGAAAGAACTGCATAAAGTGTATTTTTGATGTTTGACGAAAAAATATAATTATATCGATATTAAGATTTGTAGATTAAACAAAAAATATATAAAAATGCTTGTATTTGTTGAAAAAAATATATTTAAATTACATCTCGGCGTTTCTTGTTACTGGTTATTTAGTTGGCACAACAGAGGATGTTATCAGACGATCCGGCGGGTACCGTCAAAGAATTGAAATGCAAAACGCATTGTATTAAAGCTAACGCGAACGGCGTCACGTGTTTGTGGAATCGTTTAAATTCCGTAATGTTGTTTGCGTAATTAAATCTGCGCAATTGAGGCGACGTTTTCGGGCGACCACCTCATGTGTGGCATCGTGCGAATTTTGTTTTGCAACACACGAAAAGTCAAGCGAAATCCTTACACAGCCACGCCTTTCCATCGAATACAGTAAGTATATATATTCCGCTTATTTATAAGTTTAGAGGTAATTGAACGCGTATTCGGGATTGTTACTAATATTCTATTTTATTGTACGTTCATTTTTCACGTATTTTACGTTCATTTTGATAAAAATATGTAATTTGAATTGTAAGACAACTTAAGAATTTAATTTATGAAATCGGAATAGTCACTATAATATCTTCTTTCTACTGCCCCTATCCTACTTTTTGGGATCGGTAGAACATGTGCATCATGTTGTTAAAGGTACTGGCTAGGGTTTTTGCGACTGGCAGCTTGCCTGACGTTAACTCTCTTTGGGAACAAACATCAAGATTCGGAACATCTTTCGTCGCACATTGTCCTGTGTGGGAGTCGTACCCACGACCCCCGGCGCCAAAGTCATTGGCTTAGCAACCGCGCCATCGAGTCATCACACTCACTACGTTTAAGATGGTATTCACCCCATAAACATTAATCATATTTGATCGTTCGGTTAACATTGAGCATTCGGTAACCTAAAAAGCATTACGTATTTATTGAACATACATGAAATGGTGGGTGCCGAGATAGAACGCCGTAATTAAAAAAATGAATAAAACATCGCAATGAACAATAGCTTTGTTGGCGACCGTCACTCCGCCTGAAATATGAGAGTTGAAGGAGTTTCATAATTAAATTAGGCCGTGAGTTAGCAGGGCGGCGCGTGCGACAGCGGCACTTCTGATTAGAATGCTTAATTCTCTGTTTGTGAAAAATACGGCCCCGTTACGGAGACTACTTGTATCCAATGCTACGTGAATCCCATCCTAATGAGCGCGTATTTCGCGCGCTTTCGAGTGTTTGTTGCGATTGCCATTTGAGCACGGTAAATTTTAGATTCATAGAAATCGCATACTCCTCTGGTGATCAAATATCCACACAGGTGGCGCTGAATACTTAGCATGTAGCGTATACACGGTCAATTAAATTATATTAAAACAAAATTAATAATATTAAGACGGTAGCCAGGGTTAATGTGACATTAGGACGTAAAACAACTCAGCCTGTCCCGTGATCATAAACTGTAAAGTTTTCGAAACCTCGCGATCAAAGCGAAACGCGATAAATTCTATAAAATTGTTTTATTTGGCCATGGACATATATCGTTAAGATAAACAGAATAGCTTTAACATGAAATGAAAGTCTTTTCTTTTTCTTTATCTCTTTCTTTCTTTTTCTTTGAAAACTTTACGAAGAATTGATCATGATGAAAAAAATTTTCAAAAATAAAGAAATGTCTGCAAAAAGACACGAACCGACATAAACCGTGTAGACAAAACATTCTTAGCTAGAATGCTGTCCAGATATTAAGGGCCGTGCCTGTCAGTGTCTTTGTTCTAAATACGTTCACTCATATAATGTTTAGAATAATATTAATTTATCTGGCATGGCACGTGTCTGACACGCCCGTTGTTTGTAGATATAAACGGTAACTTAACAGTGTTTGATGGTGGTCATTGATCATTGACATATATTCTGCGTAGTACATATATATAAAGATGGATCCGAATAAGTTATGGTCGTTCTTCGATATTTAAAATATAAATATTATTTAAAGGCTCAGACAAATAAATCGGAAAAATCTACTATTAATATATTTTACAGTAAAAAGAAACAATCACATATAAATTTTCTTTCTCCTTTATTTTATATAGAATAACTGAGCTTCAAAATATATTTAAATTTTTTCTTGAAATATTAAATATTTTCTTTAATTGTTATAACTCATAACAGCGTTCATCTGCAAGTACATATATAAATCGATCAATTTTAAAAAAACTTAAATATAGAGATTAAAATAAAATTAAACACGATTAGGCCGTGGATCAATCGACTTAGTGTGAAGGAATTTAAATCTCCTTACACGATACACTCAAGTCAAAGCGCACTCGTTTTGTCGGAAAAAAGCAGGGGAATCCCCTCAGTAGCGCCTTAATTGAATTCGCTTTGGCTCACTTTTAATTTATTTGCGTTTCCCCGTTTGATGTCGAGTCGCGTCGCCGTGTTTTTAGATAAATAACCAATTATCCCGGTTCAATTTAATCCCGGCCAGCGGCATGCGATCTGGAATTTAAAACGTGTATTACGCAATCCCGTGGCGCCTTAATGGGCGGTTGACGTCCCCAAAGCGCTCGATCGCTCAGGTACCGGGTAATTTACTCTTAATAATGCTTAATTACACGGCTCGAATTATTTCGACGTGACTTTAGAACTGTTCTCGGATAGTTGAGCAATTAACTGAACAGACTACATATTGTACGGTACATGCTTCACTGAAAATAATTTCTTCAAAATTGAACTCTATTAGTAAACTTTATAATACGGAATTTAATTGTTTATTAACAACCACATTTTTAGTGCTAGTCTCTGTACTTAAGTTGAAACTAAGAATAAATAGATAAACTGTCGCAAATTTTGTTCCCCACATTCAGGATTCACACTAGATAGCGTGTTGCTAAAAATACAATGAAAAGTAGTAAAGGCGATTTTCGCGCGTTGTAGATTACGAACCTGGCTGCGACGAAAGAACTTTTTGTCAGTTGATGTACACGTTTTAAGCTAACATAAATATTAACAATACAAGTTGTTCCATTATTATTTAGATATTTTTTTCTTTTATTTATCAAATAATGTAAAGCCGAATAACAACTTATTATATTCCACAACAACCCATGTACAAAGGCATAGTCATAGTCTACTATCGCGTAATTCACACATTTTTTTAAATTATACAGCATTCTTCAGGATGTTTCCTAACCCGCAGAGCACGCGATAGATCATCATATAAATTTACAAATAATCAATTCTCCGGCGCGGGCAGTTGAGTTTACTAAATTAAAAGGGAGCGGAAGCTCACGGCTCTTATGTTGAAATACCGTTAAAATGTTATCTAAATATATATCTAATTGTTTGAAAATACCTCTTTTCGTCTGTGGCACACGTGTAATACATAAGTAAATGCCACAAATAATTGTATCAACACAGTGAAATGCGTCGTGAACTCATACAAACGGTCACAGACTACACACAATCTAATCCAAAAAAAATCTCGTAGCCCATGACATATAGATCTATCTTATATATAAAAATGGATTGCTGTTCGTTAGTCTCGCTAAAACTCGGGCGCTCGCTAAAAACGGCTGGGCCGATTTGGCTAATTTTGATATTGAAATATTTGTGGCAGTACAGGGAAGGTTTGAAGGTTTTTATGGAAAATCGAAATAGCAACTATTTTATTTTCCCATACAAACTGCAACCTGTCAATTATGTCTGTGTTACCTGTCAAACATTTCCAAATTCCCTAGAAATAATTTATATGGCAAAACAACATTTGCCGAGTCAGCTAGTCAATATTAATTTAAATAAAATTTTATTTACACGCAAATTACTCAACTTCATAGATTCACATCGAACACTCAAATAGCTTTAAACATAATGAACGTTTCATTCCCAATAAACCCGCGTTAACACGTTGAAAATGCAAATTTCACGTGTAATAACGGAAAGCGCGGCGAAATATATCCATTCAGGAACTATGTCACGTGTTGCGCACCTTTATTGGGTTTCGGCGCAATATCGAGAGACTGAAACCGTATCTGATTAAAACCAATTCTGATTAAACCCCGCTCACACCGCACGCGAAAGTACTCCAAACGTGTTAAGGTCTACGCCGTAGCGCGATGAACTCACACCTAGTAGGCATCGAATTTAGGCCACAGGAAGACCCACCCCCACTAACCCAATTTGCGCAAAACGACCGAGTAAACATACTTCGATTCCGCGCTTCACGGGGATTTATTGCATGATCGTAAAACACAGCGTGTTCCCCGTGTGAAAATTCCCAAATTGATTGGAACATATCGCTGTACCTCGCGAACTACATTGACTTAGAAATTGTTCCGAAACATCCTGTATTGCGCTTGCAATGTAGTATGTACTGCTTTCACATAAGTTAAAAGTCACAAAATACAACGGAGATCATTTTTATCGATCTCCTTTGTATTTTGTGACTTGTAATAGTAAGGTTTTCACTATTTCGAAAAAATAAGAAAATAAAACAAATTAAATATTATTTTGATTTTTTTAATAGTTCTTTTAGGACACGTTTTTACACAACGTTTTCTTATCCCAATATATAATACCTAACGGCGGTCGATGTTATTTAATAACAAATTTTCAACTATCGAGATAAGAGCTCCGTGCAAGAAGATCACATGCGTCCACCACAGCCCGTCAATGAAAGAAATTATAAATCTAATCATCATACCAATGGATACTTATGGTAAGTTGTGCGAATCCAAATCGATTATCACACATCAATGGAAGGCAATTCCTTTTTTTCTTACCTAAGGCAGTTCCTTTACGCGGGTATAACAAATGGGTCAAGAGAAACACATACAAGCTCCAACTCGCCCAACAATCGAATTGCGACCCAAATTGACTTACGATAAAAAGTTACTCCCAGTTTATAGTGATTTTGTATTCCGATCAGTATTCAGTTGTTGAAGTTTCCACTCCACAACGCTACCGGCGTTCGAAATTCAATTTTTTAACTACGTTATTTCCCGCGTTTACTGTAAACTCGTTTAATGCCTTCGCAACGCGATCAAAGTGACTCAAATCGATGACTGAGACTGAGCGGGTTGCGTGTCTGTTCAGCAGCGGGTATTGGGTTCGATTTCCACAAGAGTGAAAATACGTGCAAATTTTTATAATATTGAATATATTTTCCACGGTGACTGATTTAAACTGATAAAATAGAAAAAAACGTGTAATGAACATAGTATATGACATCGGCCATTTCTCTTAGTTAACTTGAACGTCTGGTTACATTAGTCTGTAGCGGAGGTTCGAAAGCCACGGTGGCGAAAATTTTTTTAACATTTTATCTATTAAATTCACATTTTAACATAGTGGTTTTGTATCACGGTGTTTATATAGCTATAATTTGTATTTATTTTTAGAAGAATGTTTATGCAGTTTACCAAGATGCCATAATACCACTGACCGTGTATGGTGGCATATTATGGTGTATTTCATTGGTTTAACAATATTTCTAATCGGCTGTATTTTTTATATTTTTCATTATAAATCTGATTTAATTTGTATTAGTGCATTAAGTTTATCTTAATAGAGTTAACAACCCATAAGAGACTTTTTAGAGAAGAGTCAAAGAACAATCGATATCGATTAACGTCAATAAGTCAAATCTCTAATTTGCATGACTAAAGTTACATTGCTCAGTGACGTCTTTTCTTGTCGGAGGCCAAGATCCTCTTTGCAGCCAAGTACGTAAGTAAGTAAGTAAAGTTTCATTGGTCAGACTTAAAGAACACACCTATTTGGAATTTTACATGACATAATTATTTAATCCATTTTTTTGTATGTAAATTAACTTAAAAAAAATCAACTTCCTCCTTCTGCCCTTATGACCGACCGCTTGCCTGACCACATCACCCTTAGGAACAAACCACCAGAACACTTATATGTGGTTCATACAGATATTTCTCCCATGTGGGAATCGAACCCATTACCCCTGGCGCTGCAACCGATAGCTTAGGAAACGGGGCCACTATACAATAACATATTTCTTTAAATTTTAACTAATACTCATAAGTATATAACAAACGTACGTGTAGAACGAAAATTGTGGATCACGCAAAAACAGCACATTAATATGTTGAGAAATAACAGCTGTCATCAAAGGCTCGCTATTGTTTTGTCCTGGGCATAATAGTTTTTTTGTGATTCGCCAGTGGTGTGGAGGCCGGGGGCTGCACCGCCAGCGCCGAGCGGGTCGCAGGGCGAAGTCCCGAGCGCCGCGCGAAGCCCCAGCGCTCCACCACCGCCGCCGCCACCAGTGTGGACCCCCGCCGCATCCCCGCAAGCGCCGCGCAAGACCTTCCGCCCCGTTCACCTCGAGGACACTCCACCAGCACGGCGCAAATTCACGGTATCGATTACATCCACAATACATCTCTGTTCCCTTTTAATTTTTCCGTATTATTCATAACTAGCGACCCGGCCCTGCTTGGCACGGGTGCAGTGTATTATACATATAAACCTTCCTCTTGAATCGTTCGATCGAAATCCTCTCGATCCGTTGCGTAGTTATAAAGCATACACGACAGACAGCGGAACGACTTTGTTTTATACTATGTAGTGATTGGCTCAATCACGAAACTTCGCACGTGTTGTCAAAATTTATCCACATAAAAGCGTATTGAATTGTTGGATATTAAAAGTTATCCAATTATAGGTGTTGGATACACAAATAACGCAAATTTAACTTAAGGCTAATTTATAACTTTTTATTGACAGTCAACAACTTTCGCCTGGTTCGTCAGCTTCATTTTTTGAATTAATCTAAAAATATAGACATTTTAAGATTCTACTTAAAAGTACTATACTGGAATAATTAATAACCTGGCATTCAGAAACAATGCAAATTTTTAAGTGAAATTGATAATAACAATGAGTTTCATTTATTCTCTATAATACACATTCAATAATATTCTATTTACCTCTATAAAATACAGTAAATGAAAAAGTAAATGTATCCTGGATATTGTTTCCATAATTTCATAACCATAATGTATGAAGTAACCGATGAAACTAACCGATTTGTAATAATAACTTATTCATGGAATTACAGTTTCGATTGTATATACATATGTACGTACATAATGGCAGATATACAAATACCATTCCTATACTCTTTGGATATCTCTAATGTAAATAATACACAAAATTTAAAATTTTGTACGATTATTTACCTTTTCAAATGTCACTTTTTAAAATTCATTTAGTTACATCGGCGCAATACCAATTCCAAACTTCACATTATTTATTCATACCAAACTCAATATAAATTGAACAGGTACATCGATCTGATGTCACAGAGAAAGTTAAAGTTAAACGTGACTTGGGGTAAAATGAAATCTTTTTGCATAAAATCCTTCTTTATCGATTTATAACTAACAAGAAGATATGAAAATACATAATTATATCTATATCATTTTCCTAAACCTTTGAAGGTAAATTCAAAGGCTCGGAGATTAGGACCATCTTGAGTTACTCCATCAACGTCAATTTTTAAATATAAGACGGTTTATACGTAACAAGGTAAAATCAAAGCGGGCCTCAGAAACTTTTATACGTCTTTAGGATATATTTAATATGAGAGAAAGTTTTCCTTCCCCTTCAAAAACACGGCCTACAGGTAGAGCATACATTTTAACGTTGGAAAAAAGTTCGCATCGTGCTTGGAATACGAAATTTTTGCTGTCGAGCTGGAAATAATTCGATTTAATCCGATGAACTTACATCGATAACCGATAGGTAGGTTAGCGGTACATAAGCGTACACTCGGTACACATAGTTTGATAAATGAACTGAAAATTTATAATGAATATTCATACGATGTTTATTTCTAGGGCGCCGAGCAAAACGGCTGCACAAGCGGTTCGGATAGCGAGGGCCGCCTAAGGACCTCCCAGAGTGCCCCTGCCACCGGTCTGAGTGCCATAGGAGGAACATCTTCAACCCGGCTGCCGAAAGCTCAACATCCTACAGTCACATTGCTGCAAAAAGCAAGAGGTAATGTGTCATTTAATTATGGTACAGTCTTCAAAACTATTACATTTCGAGGGGCGTTCAATGTATTCTCAGTACAGGAATGAAAAAATAAGCAAAAAATTATAAATAAAATTTTATAATTATACCCTGAAATGGTGTCTTTAACAAATGAGATAATTTAATTAAACCCATCGTTGGCATATCATCCCGATGCCGAGAATCAATGTATTCTCGGTATCGCCCCTTGTACGAGTGTACTCGTATATTAGAGTAATTATTTAATGACTGAGACACGAACTTGTTCAGATCGCACTGATGTTTAAATATGAAAATTTCGTGTTGCAGTTTCCAGAAAATTGTTACGTTGTTTAAAAAACGTGGGCAAAAAATGAATACAAATAGAAAAATATATTAAAGTTGGCAACATGGTAACTACTAGTATGAATACAAGAAAAATTACCCAAAATAGGAATGATTGCACTAACTCTTCAAAAGGTAGGCAAACTGAGAAAGTTGGCAAAGCGTCCGCAGATCCTCTTATCATACTTGTCTATAAACGGTATTAATCGCTACATAATACACTCTCGAAGATAAATTTGTGCGTTCATAGACCGTGTCCAAATAAATGGTTCGGAAACATTGCCGTTTTCGTCTATAGCTTGCCAAAACAGATACTTCTTAAAAAATAATTTAGCTTTTGTTTTAACTTCTTCGCTGAAATCCACCTCACCACGACGGTATCGTGGAAATATTGCTTCCAAACAATATCAGAGGGGTCAACCGATACATAAGTTTCATCTTCAATTATGAGAATTTTTTTCTAAGTTTTTTGGTAATCTTGACATTAACCTCGCTTAGCATGCACTTCTTGGTCTTGCACGTACTTGGGAGCGGACAATTTCACAAAAGTCTTCATGCCCAGATCTTGAACTTTAATTCTGGATATGCTTGACTTAGATATTTTCAATTCGTCCGCGCAGTCCTCACAGATGTTGAAGAAGGTGCTTCTTTAAAAACCTTTTTACCTCATCTATGTTTCGATCAGTTGCTATGGTGCTCGCCATTTCAGAATCTTCTTAAAATCAGTCTCTCCTGATTCTTCATACCGTTTAATTATCCTGTAGGTAGGTACTTGTTCTTATAGCCCCTTCTTGAAAAAAATGACGAACTGCCTCGGATTTCCCATTATTCAGATAGTACTGTATTACTCTTTTTGCAAACGATTCTCGTTCGGTTCGCTTCATGTTAGAAAAACATCGACAATTTGTTGATTTGCAAAACCTCGCGAATTTGACAGATTTGTTATCGGTGGTTACCATTGCAAAAGTTATTTTTTTTTTTGAAAACCTTTTTCTTGGCCGATATGAACACTCAGTTTTGTCTCTACTTATGGGACATCCTTTATGTACTTTACATTTAATTTGTGTAACTATTGTGAGCTCACCTATATGTTTGAAAGATTTAAAGAACAAAATTAGATTATTTGAACAATGAGATGATTGATATAAACAACGCTGAAACATTTCTCATTTTATCAGCACGCATGGGATGAAATTTAACGCAGTTAAATTGCTCTCAAGGCTTGTTGATAACAATTTCCAACCCGCGCGACAGTGGAATCTTAATATTCGCAAATTCCATTCGAAACAACTTCTTATACACTTAATATTTATGTCAGACAGTCTCCACTCCTATCTTTATTATGTAAGATGGTCGGGCTTCTTTATATTTTGCTATAAAATGTGTCATTCAGGTGCTAACATCAGCATTTAGATAAACTTGAGAGACCTTCACCTTTATCGATGTTTGTTCAAAACTGACGGGATTTTTTTATATTACTTACGAAAATGTAAAAGGCCAGTATCGTATGAAAGGATAAGTATATTAAATATTTGTTTGCAATAACATCAAATATATTTTATGCCATAGTTGGGAAAGACCTCCTGAAATAAATGTAGTTACACTGAGGGCATAGTCCGCGACACTATGAATTGACAGGTCACATAACTTCGAAATATATTGTTTTTAATTATGCTTAGTGGCAAATGATCTTACAGCGTGAAAACCTATCGAGGTTTTCTTCTATCTACTTTCTTTATTGCATCTCATTTATTCATCGAAATTAAAAAATATAAATGTCATCTATTCATCGTTCTTTTTTAAATCTACCATCTTTCGTAATGAGGTTCCTCTAAGTGTAGTCATCTAGCATACATAATATAGATTATGAACCTTTCGAATAGCATTTAGCTGTGAATATTTGAAACGAGAAATGTCGGACATGACCCCGTCTTGATATTTAGAATCACCGTTACAGAATATTATTATTAAAAATTAATTTAAGAATCTATTATCAGTAACAGCTAATATAAACCTTTCTGAGAATATTTATAAATTATTATCTGAAAATAATAGACACTTATATACATACCGGAAAACAAAGAAACAACATTTCAATAAAGACTGACATGGGTTCGACGGATTTTTATACCCGGTGGAAATGACAAGGAAATGTCTGTTGTATACGAATACAATTTAATGTTCGCTTTTGTATATAATAGTTTATCTATAGCTGAAAATGTAGTTATCGATTTTAACCACCACCGCAGCTCCACATACTGTTATATAAAAATAGCTTGTACTTATTACTTCTTGAAATTTAGTATGACTATTCTGATGAACATACAAAACTTAGAAAAATATATGATGTCAATTATGTTTTATAAGGAAATAAATCAACTGTAAATAAATATTTTGTACAGGAACTACAGAGAACTAAGTGCAAATTAAATTCGTCTTGAAATTTACATAATGTTACGCTTTTATTATAATTAGTTTATGCAAGAATACTTTCGAATCGTACAAGGGCAAAATATCAGTGCGAGTAGGACTTGCGTGCTATAATCTCAATAATGTTATAGGTTGATTTCAAACGAAAGAAATACTATTTGTATATCACCTTATTTGATGCCAAATTTTGCGCTGGCAAGTCAACGGAATGTGCTCTAAGGCTACGCGTCATACGTGACATCATCATCATCATTTAAGCCTGTTTGAGTCCACTACTGAACATAGGTCTCCCCCATAGACTGCCATGAAGTACGATCCTGAGCCACCTGCATCCATCGACTTCCCGCACATTTGCACAGGTCGTCACTCCATCTAGTGGGGGGTCGTCTTACACTGCGATGGCCAGTACGAGGCTGCCACTCGAGAACCTTTCTTCCCCAAAGGTTATCGGTTCTACGAGCTATATGGCCGGCCCATCGCCACTTTAGCTTGCTAATCCTAATACGTGACATAAACAGTCCATATTTTATAATTGCTCTTGCCGCCGCAAAATGACTAGAGATCTTAATATTTACCATAAATTTCATAAAACATTTTCTTCCACAAAGGCATTTTAGCAAACGACGACACAGAACATTAAAGTATTCTTACTCAGAACTTCTGAGGTTTAGAATCCTAAAAAGAGAAACAATTTATATCATATTATAGAGTAAGAATAGAAGGGTCCTACGTTTCAAACTTATAACTCCGTGTTAGTACTAAGTAATTAAACTGGCGTAATTAAATTGAATATGAGTTTGTTATTCTTTTCTATACAACAATGCCGTTTATAATTTTCAGAAAATCAACTATCACGGGCGACGAGTAATAATATTCACGAGAGAGACCCTCGACTGCCTCGAGACAGGCCCTCTCCACCGATTGGCGACCCAGGTAACAATTTTAATGGATAGCAAAACATTTCATTCGCAAATGCTATTTCGTGAAATCGTTGTAAATAAAAAAGAAAAAAAAATACCAAGAAATTATCACACAATACGTACTATTTATAGACCACGACTGTCTAGATTCATATAATAATTCTACTATAAACTAATTCCCCATGATTTCAGAATTAAAACTAGAAGCTTTTTATTTACTATATTGTAACGATAGTACCTACAAAGTTACGCACAGAATCTAACTATAGTTCAAATTACTTATATCTCTCGTTTGTGCCAATTTCCAAGTCCCTTGCTTTTTTGCGTACACTGTTCTTACGTATCAAATAAAACTAGTGGTCGCCAAGTGGTCTAAATGCGACCATAATTAATTTAAATTATACAAGTACAAGGGTACAAAGTTTTTGTTTCACGCTATATAGATTCCTGTACGGTTAATGTATTTTGTAAGACTACAAGAGTATTTATTTTCTACTTTCAGTACATGCGTTGCGAAAGGGATACCTAAGCGAAGGGGAGGCTGAGAGAAGCGACTACGCTCAAGGTGTCGGCCGTAAAATGGCCGATGTCAACAAGAAAGTAGAAGGAATCGGACCCACTACCAAAGACGGAATGCCCGTGACGCTTAGATCTGTAAGCTGATATCTAAAGACGGAAATTTAAATAAAAAATCATCATCATCCTCCTGGCCTTATCCCACCTAGGTGGGGTCGGCATAACATGAGAATCATGTTTTAAGTAGTATTGCCTAGGTTTTTACGACCGCCCACTTGCCCGTCGTCAACCCTCCTTGGGAACAAACACCCAGATCCGAAACAATTATCTGTGGGTAACATAAATACTTGTTCCATGTAGAATCGGCCCACGAACCCACGGCCCCCGGCACCGAAGTCAACAGCTTAGCAACTGCGCCGTCAAGCCCTAGATAGTCATTTATTATTCACCCAGTTTATTTAAATTGGGAATGCAAAAATAGCTTCCAAAAACATAGTGAAAAACTCGGAGTGTGTGCTAGAAGCATACAAAATTATATCTTCAAAAGAAGAACAAATAAAATTATGAAAAATACTTTTTTTTCCAAATACTTTATTTATTTATCCTATAAATTAGCAATAACAAGATAAACAAATGTTATAATTACTTATCCCATTAGAAATCAGTCGTAAATGGTAAAGTAATTTCATCGCATCACATTAAAACAGGATCCGTAATAAGGGACGCAGTTCAAGTGCTTCTGCTGTTGCACGAATAGACAGGCTCGTCCTGGGAAGTACAACGGTATGGTACACAGAAGACAGACGTGGAAGTATAGGTTCGTAGTACTTTCACGTTTCTTCTAGTGAGTGAGATAACTGGGGCCCAATTCTTTGTAAGTTAGTAATTCATCTGTCACACCCGAAGGAGTTTTAGATGTACATCAGCGAAGGTAATCAACAACCAATATAAAAATTCTTCCATACAATTCAAAGTGAGCAATTTTTTTGAAGAATGTAGTAGTGTCTTATATATTCCGTATAGTAAATTTTATCCACAACGATGGAGAAAATATTAGTGGCTTTATGTTTTTTTATAGTCAACAAATATTAAAACGAAAACATTGCTATTATTTTGCAAAAGTTTCTTAAACATACCTTAGGATTTAAGAGATACGTTAACGAATTATTCCTTGAACAGGAACAAATTTAAGACTGTATCACTGATCACATATTTACTGCATAAAGTAACAGCCTATACATGTCCCACTGCTGGGCAAAGGCCTCCTCTATACAGAGGGTATCAGGGCATAGTCCACCACGCGGCTCCACTGCGGATTGGCGGACTTCACATATTTTCGAAATAATTTTTTTTTTGTTATTATTTCGAAAATATGCAGGTTTCCTCACGATGTTTTCCTTCACCGCGGAGCACGTGATAAGTCAGCACTTAAAGTTAAAAACTTCATTGGTGCCGGCACCGGGGATCGAACTCAGGTTGCTCGAGTATATTGAATTAAAGGCGAGCGCCCGGACACTGAGCTATCACGGCTCATTTACTGCATAAATTATATTATTTTTTCTTTACACAGGTTTAAACATATGAAATGCACGATATTTATATACAAATTTGTTAAAATTTTGATTTAAATTTATATATATATGAAACAGGACCTTACACATTAGGAACGGTATAAAAAGTAACACGAAAAATCTATTAATAGTCGGAACTCCGTCTCTAAGGCGTTTGACGTGAGCATAGCTAGGTTTTAATATCTTCCTCTAGGCATTACTTTCACACTTCAGGTTAACCAATAGATTGGTAACAATGTATCATTTACATATTGTATTTTATTTATGGAAAGAGTTTTAAAGTCATTTTCGCTAGTCATAATTGCTAATAAAGCCTATTTGTTATAAATAAATATTTTACTTTTCAGGAAGTTAAAGATCCATCGAGATGGTACAAAAAAATGTACGACACGATCCACAAGAACAAATTCGACGGTAAGGCCAAACTAACTGATCTACTCCACATTAGTTTTTTTCGTTAATGCAAAAAAAGTCTTATGAACCGCACTGAAAAAAAAATTCTAATTTTCTTTTTCAGACGATTATGTGACTATTCGATACAAAAATCGTCAAGGTGACTATCGCTATTTTTTCCCAAATTTTGTTTTTGCGCTGCATCGGTGACTGCTTAATCTCATACTGAGTCCGCTTTAATATGAACGCTTTAACAATGTAACAACGAGCGATCATAACCACGCAACCTAAAATTAGAATGCCAAACCATTTCATCCTTGAATTGCCCCAATACTCACTTTCACCTATCGTCTGACTTAAATCGCGTTTCAAATTGTAAAAAAAAATTCGTGCTACGATACACATACACATTATATCAGGCTTTTGAAAGCACTTTCTATTCTAAAGCTGAGGAAAACCTAAAGAAATTCAAGTTATGATTAATTTTATTAACAAGAATGAAATGAAACTATATTTACCTTTATTTTTAGTTTTATTTCCCGGCTAAAACGTCTCAGTCTGTCCCGTGACCGTGAACCCAGGAAAGGGTTCGAATCGTGGGGAAACAAAAATAAAAAAGCGATTAATCTGTAAATATAGTTTAATTTAATAATGTGTGATCGCGTAAATACAAGAAATTGTCAAAAATTAGTAAGGAAGGATTTCTGACCCTAATATTTGCCATGATTCCAGTTTGTTATATTTTTCAACCAATTAATAGTTTGCGTTTCAGACACCATGCATTAAACTAAATGGTCGCCGTTTGTTTTGTGAAATGAATTGTGGACGGAGTGTGGATGTTTAATATTTTAATAGACAATTCACACAAGTGAATCTGGTGTCCAGGTCAACCACCCTCCAGGGTGTCGAGCAGTAAGTCCCAGTACGCGTACTTCGACCCTCGCTCTGGATATCTGAGCGAGCCCGAAGGTGGGCTCAGCCGACTTGGCTCCAGCACTTGGAGTGACGCATACGACAGCGACGCTACCGCTGGCCCAAGAAGACGAACCGCCTCCGTACAGGAGGACAGAAGAGATGACACCTTCTCGCCATATCTACCAAACAATAAGTTAGTTTCCTTTAAAGTCAAATCCAAACGAGCAGATACAATCAACCAAGATTTTATATCTCTTATCACAATTGACAACCTCTAGTGATGCTTATATTTTTTTTTATTATCTGATATTTTGAAGTTAAGACGCGTGCAAGTACAGATTATCGTATTTAAAATTAACATTAAGTGCTCCTAAGTAAATTAAACTAACTTGAACTCTACGTTCTAAGCAAAGCGTTATAAGCGATTAAAATGACATAAAATAAAAAATAATTTAAAATAATAATAATAGTAAAGAGTTATTCAATCTTATTTTATAGGTATAGTACATTAGCGTCAGCTAGAGCTAGCCAAGAAGTTTACAAAAACCAACCGGGAAGAATAGAAAACTACGTACCTGGAAAGTCTTCCGTAGTTGATAAGGAAGCCAAACAGGTAACAAAAATGCTGCGCAAGTTCCACGGTTATATGGTGATCACTTACGTCATAACTAACTCATTCCATTTTAATTTAATACGGTTGGCAATCATTATCGCGTGTCATTAAATGATAGAAATCAATACAAATGAAATACATTTCCCTAACCACCCGTTCCACATTCAAATTACACGCTGAAATATCTTGAGCAACAACGAGATTTGTTTTTTTTCTTTTCTAGTGGTGGGACGAGGTCATGGACATTTTTGATGGGGTACGAACCTTTTAAATATTTATGTGTGTCTTCTTTCGTAATCTTGTAAATACTACAGTTACATCTTCTCGTGCTTTCCTCCTTTGTATTTTACACTCTTCAGCTTCGTTAATCACTGAAGTATTTTCAGTGTTTCACCTGTAAGATAAATATTTTTCAAGGTCGTATTTTACAGTAAGTTAACTAGTGTACGTGTACGTTTAAAGTGTATTACTCAAAATATATGTCTGTATGGTGGCAAAGCTTTTATATAATAACTACGCAATAACAATTCATTAATTAAATTTCTCGAATGACGTATTAACAATGTTTCCATCCCCGTGGGTGCCTTTGGTGATGGGACTAACAGTGGCTAGACGACAACTCTCCTCTGCCTCCTTACACCACATTGCTGGCTCGCGCGATCCAGAAAAGTGTAAGGGCCCTAACATTTCCGCCTGATGTTGTATCTTTTGCTGTCTGTGGACGATTATGAAAGATTATCGAGTTTTATTTAATAGGTACTAATATAGACGTAAAAAGTGAATATTTCATTGAATAATTTCAAGTGTGCGAAAATTATGCCTGACATACATGCGACTGATAGAATGTGACACATATTTATGCAAACATGGTATCGACAGCTTCTATTACGCTCTTTTATCCCTTATTAATATTTTATTTTAACGGGAATACAGTAGTTTCAATTCAAGTAAGCATTTAGGACGCATACTTGATTACATTGAAAAAAATAGGAATCCCTAAACCTTTAAATGTATTTCATAATCATTGATAATCGGCCACGTTTTGTCGCATGAAGAGGTGGTTATTACCGTCCAAAAATCACAGATCGACTTTACATACTAACCGCTTTGTATATCTTTTCTGCTTTAAGAACATGTGCTTTTTAGGCTGTCATTTCCATACTACATAAATCTATAATGATAATCAATAACAACGTATTAAACAAAACATTGGTGGCATGCTTACTTCAATTGAAAAATAAACTTTTTCCAACTGTTTACTTAGGAAAGTAAGTTGTATATTAAACTTTTATTTAAAATAAATATTCAAAAAATACATTTCAGTTTTCATTAGTTTACTAAATCTGCTGTTGTTTTTGTATTTATAAATCACTCTCTATTACTAATATTATCATAAATTTTAATGATAAAAATTAAGTGTTGTTGGATTTTATTATATTTTTATTTACTAATTTATAAATATTTTTCATTAGTTTGACATCTGTTCCATATGTGGACGTATTAATTTTTAGTAAAAATAACGTCATTATGCATGTTTAGATAAATTTCTGAAAACACGTTTGTTTATAATTTGATAAGTTTCTAGAAAGTGTTAACTTAAATTAAATTAAGATCGTGAATAGAGCTATAACATTTCAGAATTGATGTTTAAATATAAAAAAGGAGCAATTAATTATGTCATTACACAATTTTGCAGCAAAATATATCAAGCACTACGTCTCTACCACAAACATCGCCAAAGGATAAAAAGGACATGACATCAACGATATTATCTAAATCAAATATGGCGAGGTGAGGATGACAAAGTATTTTCCATATAATATTCAATATTTGAAAGCGACGCACTCAGTTTTTCCAGTTTTAGTAGACCACCTCTGAACACCTTTTTAGCTTATACATATGTATGTTATACCTTAGCCTTACTTTTAGTTTTACTTTTACTCGTTTTGCTAACTAAGCCCTTAGGTCAATAACAAGCCATTAGCGAAAACTTCCTACCTATCATTATAAAGGCCCATTTACACGATGCCATTTTCTTGTACATACAAGAGTAATAATTGAATGCAATAAATTGCGCCCAATAATTTGTTAGACCATTTGTTGTTTAGACCATGCAACTCATTTATTGCTTCAATTTAATTGTATACAACAGGCAAGAAACTTGCACCGTGTAAATGGGTCTTTAGGATTTAATCAAATTATGATAAATTTATTTTTTATTTTTGTTGCTATCTGTACTCTATATAAAATTTAAAGTTGAGATTCATAGATAAATTGTCGTAAAATTTTCGGCACTTCTGGATTTTGCGTATTCTGGTTAACACGCCCGATGTGATCACGGCGCGAAAATGTCGATAAATGTTTACTTGCGTTGCGTTCGAGGCTTCGATTCTGCTTCGTTTCCCGCAGCACGACCAAAATTTCGATAATTTATCCACTTAGATCATATTTCAACTTCAAATTATATTTTAGAGCCTTGAAAGAATCCGGATATGAGTCGGACTCGACTCTTGTATTCCGCCGCCGGGAAGAAACTGATGCCCCCCTCTCACCAGCCGAAAGGAGGGCTGCATACAGAGACCTCCAGGCGGGAGGGGAACCCCCTCTCAGAGGTTTCCGCTCGCCTGCTCCTCCTAGACAAGGTAAGGAAATAATGGTGGTCTTGAATATTTGCTACTTATCATGTAGGAAACATACGAATTGTTTAATAAAAAGAACTTAAGGATTTTGTCGTTTTTATTTTCATTTTAAAATTTCCGATTCTTCGAACATATAAGCAAAATCGCAGACCTCGAAAAGTTATTGTTGGAGATTTATCCGTAGAATGTACTGAGATAAATTGTAAAACAGTTGACTGTAACCCTGGTCAACTGTATACTAGGACGTCAAGCTCATCTTGTTCTGCTTTTTCATGCTGTATCAATCAGTTGCTTATAAAATTTGAAATGTCGGAAATTTTAAATTTAAATAGATGCGGTAAAATCTCTGAAATTTTTTAAATTAGAGTAAAAAGTTTAAATCATAGTTTATCATGGTTCATTTACAAAAATATAAACCATTAAAACTAGGAATTATTAATGGTGAATGTTTACATATACATACGAGTACATTGTGTTGATTAAAAGATTACTCGAAATACTTTTTAACGTTTTACATCCATGTTTCTTTCTACTTTTCTCTAATTATAATTTGTCCTTTGAGTTGTAGCTCATAAACCGAATCCGTAACACATTTAAAATTTAAGTTACCTTAACGCCGCTCATTTTTATCATTATACAAGTATATTAGTCATTATATTATTATCTAATATAAATAATAATTATAATATAAATTCGGGTTTTAATTACCTACATTGGTGTTCGTAATTTGGTTAATTTTTTGTATGTTCAATATATATATATAATGTCAATAATTATTATTGTTGAACCGATAATATAGACAAATATTAATAAGCTTGCTTAAATAATATTATATATTAAAAGTATCTAGTATATTATAAGCTAAGAACTTTAACATCGAAAAAAGCATGTTTTATTTTGGTGTGGGTGACTAAAAAAATCGCCAATTTCAAAAACTCCCATTACCCATAAATTTTTTGAAAAAATTGGTTGTTGCGAAAAATTATTTCAATAACGTTGATCTGTACTTGTCACTACCTACTCAAATAAATCTCGGCCAAGGTCAGTGCATTTCCTATGTCATACATGTGGGTCAACCGCAGTACGGACAATTGTTTGACGAGGTTACATTGTATCGCCTCTTTAACGGGGAACAAATTAGTTTGTAGCGTAACACCCATACGGTAAGTTAACATAAAACTTGTTCAGTCGCATGTTAAAATCACTGACATGGTCCTGGGACGTCCACTCACTTCGTAAAAAGGTAACCCTGTAGTTTTTATATTTAGTGCATGAAAGCAATAAGCTCCAAAATTAAACACACAATATTCGATTTACACTGCTGTGAGGCACAATTAATTAACCACCATTAGAAAAGTGTAGGCTTTATCACGCGTTCAAAGGTATAAGAAGCACAAGGAACACGTGTTACTCACTGATAAGTTTATAAAATGCATATCTTTTTTAAACAATTATTGGAAATCCACAGATGAATCGGAAATAGAATATATTCCGATATCCTCCACTCTCACGAAGATTCGTGTTCATAAAAAAACGCCACACCTGCATGAAGTTATCTGCTATCCAATAAATAAGATAGAATCTATCGATATAAATGATTTTAAAAACAAGAGCTGCATATGTCATAAACCAAATATAATGGGTGATTTCCCCCCAGCACCACCCAGAAGGATTTCTTCCAAAAACAGTACAACGCTTAAGCTCGTAACATCTTCAAGGCATTCGTCAACATCACCAAATAGACTTGCCGCAGAAAAATCTAAAGTTCACTTTTTAAAAGACAAAATAAGCCACAAGTTAGATAGACAAAATACGCACGTGATTATAAAGAAAGACAATAAAATAGTTCATTCCCCTAAATGCAGAGAAATGTCTTCTTCAGCACCTCCCACAGTTGACAGAAAGATTTCTAACACAACTCCAACATGCTCAGTTCTTAAAAAGAACGTTATTGAAAGAGGTACAAGTAGTTTTAGGTCACCGAGACGGACATTACAACCTATTGAATACTCTTCTAGAAATAAATATGGCGATTTACAAAAATCTATATTGTTAGAAAATGGGGCTGGAAGAAAAACCCCTATTTCAAACATATTGGACAAAGTAACCTCTTTGGATAAATTATGGAGTTCGCAAAAGAGAAATGAACAAATAAATGTAACAAAACGAAAGGAAAAATATACAAATAAAACATCTTTGTCTGCACCAATCAAATCAAATCTTAGTAAGTCTCTAGCACTCGTAGAACAAAGGATACCATCAAGAAATGTCACACATAAGAGTAGAGACATGGTTCGTACTTCAGAAAAACTACAAAAGTTTAAAAATAGTAATATTCATAATAAAACAAATACTTCTTCAAATTTAAAAAATGTTAACACAAAACATATACAACCTGGTCCACTTCAAACAATGACATATATCTCGAAGTCTACTTCTAATATTCCATCCACAACAAAAAAACAAAATAACGTGAAAACAGCTGTTGTGACAAATCTTAAAAAGAAAAAATCTCTGGAAAGTGTTATTATTAAATCAAGAAGTGTGCCATGTCACGAAATATGCAATAAAAAACTAAAAGGAATTGTAATAAAACGAGATTTAAAGTCAAAAAACTTACAAAAAAGGTGTAACGTCTTCAGAAGGGGATTTAAAATTGTCAAAACAGTCAAATAAAGTTGTTAATGAAAGAATGGACACGGATTATTTACAGGCCATGAGAGAAAAAGGGATAGGTGAAAAGGAATTAAAAAAAACGCGTGACTCCGTTCTTTCAGATTCTTTTTTTCGTCATCTTTTCCTAGGCAATGTATCCATCCCCACAAGTTCTGCATCGGAACAACATTCGTTAAACACAGTTTTACAAAAAGCTAAGTTATTTCAATCCCCACCACGTGTAATACACAATAATTCAAATTCAATCAATTCATATTTGATACACCGGAAACCAGTTTCACTATCTCGTTTTAAAGCATGGGATAAGAATCGTAGCCCTACCCGAGTATCTGGTCCACGTTCAGTGTCATGGCCTGGCAAAATATCTAGTGATATACGCAAGTTTCAAAGTTTGTCGAAATGTGAAGAGTTTGGGTCTGTGTCATCACTGTCAACCATTCGAAGTAAAAGTGAACCTCCCACGAACAAGATTTATTTCTCGCAAACATCAAGGCCAGTATCGCCTAGCGTTATTTTCTATAAAAAAGAAAAAATAAAGGAAACTACAGAGAGTATCTCTGCCATACCCAGTAAGATACTTTACATACGACCAAGAACACCCTCCCCAATCACTTTAAATAAATCACAATTAAGTTCTCAAAATCCAGATACTAGAAAACAAATTTCAGTTGATCCAAAGAATTTCCAAAAATCATTAAAAATTGTCCAAACCACAACTGATAATAAACCTACTACATTGATTTCTCCGCAAACATCAGGACAAATATGTCCAAAAGTGTTAAAAAACACACTTAGGAAAAGTAGGAGTCATTCAACATCTCCGGTTAGTTTTAGGTCTCCGTCATATCGACGAATACATAATGTTAGAATACACAACAAACAAACAAATGACACAACATTAAAAAAAATTAAAAGAACTAAAAGTGCTGATGACTCCAAAATTAATGAACATACAGAAAATTCTTTGTTAATATCGAGAAGTGAGTCAAACTTAAGCGTAAATGATCCGGATTATGAAGAGTATGTTCATGATATTCAAAATTCTAAGCTACGAAGTGAAAGATTTAGAGAGTTAAATCGATATTATGCATATCTTGAAAGGGTAGCAGAGTTGGAAAAAGCTACATCTGCTTGTGAGTTAAGACATAGAAGAAAAGACGAAGAAATTATTGACTTTGATCGATGGAAAAAAATAAGATCTATAGAAAGAGCGGAAGAAGAATTAAATAACCTTTATCACAAATTAAAATTGGCGCAAAATGAGAACAATGTTTTATTTTACCCAAAAGATTTAAATGACTTTCGATGGGATTCCGGTAAAGAAAGAGGTCTTAGAGTGAAAGAGAAATCCGTAGAAGATTTAAAAGAAGAATTTCAACAGAAATCTGACACTGATACGGCAGAATCAAATCAATCGAAAGATAATTATAAACCACTTTGGAGAGGAACTAGTGTAGCTGAAACTGCATTTAATATAAATAGTAAAAATAACATCGATAATGAACCATCGCATAAATCAAAGAAACCTATTGTAATGATGCAACAAGATTCTTCTTTAAGTGAACTTCAGAAGAAAATAGGTCTTGGCAACCGCTTATGGAGTAGTTTGTCAATGGAACAGGTAAATGCTTTAAAACATCAATTAAACGCAATTTATAGCAAAGAGTTAATAACAAAAGCCAACAAAGATAATGACAAATTTAGCGTTGAGGTAGACAACACGAATGGCTTTAAAAAAACATCATTACATGTTCGATGCAACTCTCTAGTAACATCCCCAACTACTTCTGAACATGGAAACTGCTTAAGCAAGTCAGATTCCATATCGGCAATTACCTGTCCGATAACATCAGTTAAAGAATTAAAAAATAACGTTAATAAAATGCAAATGACCTTATCTGAAATTGAAAAGAAAAAAATTTCTCAATCTTTAAGCAAAGAAGTATTGAATAGAATTAACAACTCCGTACCTTTAAACCGAGATCAAAATTATTTAGAAAGTAACCAGTACCCCCCTAATAATAAAAATAGCAATGAAATTAACTCAGAAGAAGAAAAAAATGTATCTCACCCAAAAATAAATAGTATTACAGATAAAACAAAAAGACATGTTGTATATCCGATGGACAAAACGGAATCAACATATCAATCTTCAACAAGTGAAACAGAAACTGGTAGTTCAGATAACTCCAACAAAACAGTTATTTATAAAGGTCCGCAAAAAGAAGTGTTAAAAAAAGTTGAATATTTTGAGTCTGTAACTAATGTATCAAATCAGCCAAAAATAATCTATCACGCAAAAGAAAACTCTAATGAAATTAAAGCTACAGAGGAAAACGCTTTGTTAACACGTGAAAATAAATGTGAACCAGAAAAAAAAATAATCTCCCAATCCCAGTCCTGTACTAATTTTAAGGAACTTTTTGGTGAAACAGAAAAAAATAAATTTTTGTCACTACCATCAAAACCTGACCTACATTCAAGATCGCCCTCACCTTATTCGGAAGTATGCACAAGCGATCGACGCACGCCTGACACGCTAAGGTATTCGAGCGACGAAGCAATATGGCGCAGTCGAACTCCATCGCCCGATCCGGAGCGATACTGGCGTACTTATATAAAACTGGCGCGTGCGGGGGAGGTTCGCCGCCTTGCACGACGTTTCGACGCACCCTCAACAGGCGGTGCAGTTCTACGCAGACACCGAAGCGATCCAGAAATAGCTCGAAATGTTCTTTACAATGACTGTTCCTCTGTTGAGAAGATCCCATCCCAATGGGATAAATGTAGGGCCATATTACCCGTGGCTCGAGTTCCTCTTCGGCCGACGAATCGTTTTATGCCGCACATTGATATCATTTCAAAGTTAGCAGCTTTACGCAGACGTGCTTCACCAAGGTCTAGGTCTGCCGAAGAAGCTTTAGAATGCCGACCAGGTGAAGTTGAACGTATACGACGGCGTTTTGAAACAATGGCCCTTCTGGGTCCAGTGTATTCATCAGCTCCAGACGTTCGTGAGTTGCATGAGATCGCTCCTTATTTAACTGGCCCGTGGATTGCACACCGCTATCCAAAACCAAGTGATAACAATAAGTCAATTAAAGATCCTGCGGTGCTTATAAAAGGTGAAAAGTCACCGATAAAGAAAGAAACAAAACCATCAGCATCCGATAACACAGTAAAACTTAGTTCTATTTTAAAAAGCGACACATTAGCTAAGCAAGATTTTGACCCTGCGGCGCATCGGCCAGTTAGCCGGTATGAGCCTCCTCGGACCCCGCCGCGCCCTCCGCCCGCTGCGTGGCCCTATCGAATAGCGCCCACTGTCACGCCATCACGGCACACAGTCACATTTCAAGGTTAATATTAATAATTTCGTCTTGTTACGAACTTGTATGTTTAATATTGGAGTATTGTCTTTTTTGTTCCTAAATTGGTCGCATCAACAAAAAGTTGTTTGAATGCTTTTTACGTTTTTGTTCCTGCTTTCAAGAAGTTATTTAACCATCATTTTATTAACCAATTTAATTTTTTTTATTTATTTTTTCTTTTCATTATATTTTATTAATCCTGGTAGAGACCGATTCAGCCCCAGAGCCGCCCCGCAGAATAGCCGGAAGTTATTCAGATACAGGCAAGTAATCATTATATGTCTAAAAGTTAAAATTAATACCATAAATAAGCTTTACTGTTTAATTACATAAATAATACGTTTAAATTTTGCTAATGAATTTAATATAAGTTATCAGCTGTGTCTGTCACAGTTGATAACTTTTATTAAATATATTCGTGTACGTAAAACAGTATAAATTCGCAACAAAAATACTAACGTTTCATTTAGAATATAAATACTACTAACTCTTCTTCCTATATTCATTCTCTCTATGCGAGAATGAACCATTGATCATATAACTTACAGCCTGTGTGAATAGGAAACAATCGCTTTTGTTTAAGAGTAAGAAGCCTAAAGGTTTATTTCACTGCAGTCAACACTTTAATTTGGTATTGAGTTTACGAATATGTAGAGTTTATCAGTTCGAGATAATTTGCTCTCAACGATATATCTGCGTCATTGGGATTACCTCGGCTAAAACCTGTTTGCTGAGTTTTTTCTTTCGTAAATAGTTTGCCAGGCTTCCTGATCGCGAACGGTTTGTTGTTGCGTACATTTGTGTTACAAAGTATCTAGTGATATAGACGACATTTATCTAAAGTGTTTAGTGATAAAGCATATCAGTCTTATCGTGCCTTCAGTAATACGTGAACTGTTATATCGAAAAGAGACTTGTGATGATGGAATAATAGTGTACAGTGCTTTAGAATATCAAAATGAATAAAGAATTGGAAAACAATAAACAAAAAAATCCAGATGAAACAAAATTTCACTCAAATTACGACGATGACGGATTTTTTAGTGATGTGCCAATTTCCGGATCTCTTTCAAAATCCTTACTGGCGTTAAATAGGTATGTGAAAAAGAATCTGTTATATGAGGAAAGTGGCACTCTACATGATGATTCTGCGTACTTTTCCAAGGAGAACAGCCCTAACGAGTCAGTTTCAAAATACGATTCAGACAGCGGAAAGAGTGAGTTATCAGAAAAGAGAATTATATCAACACCACAACCGGATGTGGACGTTGTACTAAATATCATAAAGGTGCAATCAATAAGTGAAATACCAACGGAAAACGAGTTAAAAAATACAGAGGAACTAACTGACGATTATAAATTCAAAAAATTACACGAAACTTCGAGCAACGAATGTGCTACAGTTGTCGATGAAGTTATTAATAATGAAAATATTCAATTATCTCCTAAACATGATTTTGTAGCGAATAATGAAAAGCATGATCGATCAAATTCAGAAAATATTTCCTTGTCTTCCGATGACTTGAGTGTAATAAAAAAAATTAGCAGAGATAAAGGCAACGGTGAAATTATTTTAAAAAGTAGAGTTGACGACGCGTGTAATGAGCTAAAACGTCACACAATACATGACGTCAACGAATGGATTAATAGGACGAATGTTTATCCAGATGTCTACGCGCCTCTTCCGTATAGTAAGTTCTTCTCTAACGATGTCTCACTCTATTAGGATAATTTATGCTAATACCGCACGTTAATGTATGTTAAGATGATATTCATATAGCAATTTTCATTAAAATGTACAAGTCCGCGAATCGTGTGTACAACTTCGTACTTTCCATTTGAACACGCTCAAGTGCGTAGCAAAACACAAGTTGCTTTTGGCGGGAGACAAACTAGTCGAGTCAAAGAAAGTGCTACTGATCTTTACAGCCGTCAGCTGACAGACGTCGCCGTCGCGGTGAGGCGCCTGACGCCTCCACTTAAAAGTGCAGTGTTTATTGTTTTTATTTTATTTTTTTATTTCCGATAACCGTGCAAACCGTCATTAATATACATATAAGTGTCTAAACTGGAATGGGCATTCTGAAACAAATAAAAAAAATGACAGCTTACGGTACGTTAAAACATGTTAAACCCCGTTTATCTATTTTATTTTTGTTAATAATATGAAACACATGTATTATAAATTCAAGGACTGGATTTTACCAGGGAATGTCTTATTTTGAATAAATAATGTCCTAACAAGCATTTAAGATTTTAAATTATTTTTTGGTGTAACTAAGCCGCTATACAATACTCGATGTTATTCAATCATCTTTCACGATTTCGGCAAAAAGTGATTGACTGTTGTGGCATAAGTAGAATTGTGACATTAAGCTGAAATTTAATGTTGCAATAGGCTGAAAATAAGTCTCAAAAATTATGAGAAGTTAATAATACTTACTAATTTTCAGTTCTATATGTAACATCGAGAAATATAAGTACTTTTTTTACGTTTGCATTATATTGCAACAATTTAATATAATCTATAATGGCTAAAAATATTTATTTTATATACGAATAAATATCGATCTACTTTTTTCACCTTACAATACAAATTCACTTTCGACAATAGCCATACTAATTTAAAATTTAAAAAGATAATATCACTCGAATTTGTGGTTAAACTTATCCAATTACGGTGTATTTTTGAGCGTAAAGCTTAGGTGAAAAAGTTGTTGAGGCTTAAGTAGATAACTATAATAGTACGTGTAGAGCAAGCAGTATTATGCGAAGCGTGCCGGGAATGCCTATTTGTTTTGAAAGTTGAAAGACTGCAAACAAAATGCTAAAAAGGGCTTTCATATTCTTAAAACACCCGCGGCCTCTCCGCTTCGTACAAGTATTCGATTTATAACCTTCTTATTGCTTATCGAAAACTAATTCGAAAGCAAAGGATGGCAGATAGCATGATAGATCGCGGTAATGTTATTGTTTATTGGAAAATTATGAATTAGTTAATTAATATAAATAGAAGTTATTTTTTTAGTATCAGCCTATACATGTCCTACTGCTGAGCAAAGGCCTCCTCTGTGGAGAGGGTATCAGGCACATATTTTCGAAATATTTTTTTTGTTATTATTTCGAAAATATGCAAGTTTCCCCACGATGTTTTCCATCACCGCCGAGCACGTGATAAGTCAGCGCATAAAAAGAACAATTTCATTGGTGCTGGCACCGGGGATCGAACTCAGGTTGCTCGAGTATATTGAATTAAAGATGAGCGCCCTGACACTGAGCTATCACGGATCTATTTTTTTTAACGTAATGAAATTTTTATTTCATAAAATTTGGCTAATTTGTAAATGCTACGAGCATTTACAAATTAGCCAAATTTTATGTAACACTTTTTTAGATACACACTTCAACTATGTTCCGTCTTGTTAACCTCATAAAAAAATTATATTCATTAGTGTAAAACGTGGCTTGCAAAAGTAATGAAGAGATAAAATCAGCATATCATTCTCTATTATTGCTTTCTTCCGCAATGGTATTTACATACTTACAGCTATACAGTTGTTTATTTGAACTCCGTCTGTTCTTAGTTGTGTTTTTAAGTGTGTGCATATTATTTCTATTTTGATACTCTAGTAGATAATATTTAAAAAATAATGTATGTAGTAACATGTAAAAAATCCGTTCAAATGCGAGTCCATTATACCACCATAATAAAATTGGTAAATAAACACCAACGGTTATCTGAGGAACGGGTGGACCTAGCAAGTTGAAATTTATATCAGATACTTTTTCACTTTACATTTCCAGCAATGTCGTATCGAGAATTCTAATATTTCGTTTTTGTCGTTTATGTATTTTAATTAAGAAAGACAAGATTTTATTCTACGTTCGGGTTCTCCCGAACATTTATAGCCCTAATTGCTTTTCTTTTAATAAATGTAGTTTTGTGTTTTTGTAAATTCAACATACACATAATACACTACTTTGTTATCGACAATTTTTATAACGATTGTAGCTCATTTCATCTAAAGAAGTGAAAAAAAAAATGTCGAAAACAACTATATTATTACTATTATATAGAACTGAATATGATCATATTAATCACACTTAATTATAAATATATTAATGAAGTTTTAGATTATACTCATATAACTAAAAATGCCCTCTGTTTATATTGATATAACCTTTGCAAGGCATAAAATGTATTTAGTGATAACACGATCATAACTAAAATTAATAAAATAAAAAATTATTTCTTTGTATGAATTTCCTACTGCTTGGCGAAATCAGCTTATATCGTTTATTCGTATTTTAGTTTTCAAAAACCGATTATCGCCACAAACGTAGTTGGCAGGAACTATTAGTATACTATGAAAACCGGTTCCATTCACTTCGCGCACTGTTACGTCCCGTCACATAATCAACACCCGAAACACTAAGCCGATGATCATGTTACGGCATCGACTGACACCATGATGGCTTCATCTGGCGGAACCACTTTCACTCAATCAATTTGCTGAAGTACTTTTTGCAACACCTCGTGCCATAAGTCTACGTTTTCAATCAGTCGTTTCCTTATAAGATTCACTTCCTTATGACAGCGTAGATATGAAACAACTAATAACATGAATATTGACACAAAAATATTTTATTCACTAAACGTTTATTGGTTTTTTACTGAGGTTCATGCTATTTCCAGATATATGATTACTTGTGATGTTATCATCTAATTCCCAAGTAATCAATACTTGTATTATGGGTACTAGCTAACTGGATAAACATACTTAAACATACATATCTTTTGTAAATAAATATAATTGAGTCTCGTAGTTACTTAAATTTTCCGCCATAATGTTATAAAATGTCTTTCTCCTAAAAACCGAAACAGCAAGCTTCCATTCATTTAGGATTTCGGTGAAGAAGATCACGTTTATCTGAATAAGCTGATTATGGCTTGATTGATCTGCTGATTTAGCATCATCATCTATGTCAACTGATTCGTCCGCAACCGTTTTTCATATAAAATTGTGACTTTAATCTTCGCCATTCTTATTGAACACTGCTATTACGCAACCGTTTACCGCTAACGCTCCGTCCAGTCCGAGATGAGCATCAACACCTGATCCGATTGTCTAGTAGCTCTCGAAACGCCACACCGTGTTTACAATAGGACACTTCCTACGTTTGTTTACAAGCGGTATTCATGACGGCGTGTAAACACCATTGTGCGTGCAGAATCGCCCAGCCGCCGGTACGTGGAGAGCGACGTGAACATCCACTACCGATGCCCGGTGCGCCACGACCCCCTGCCGCTCGTGCCAGAGCGGGAACTCGCGCGGCAGCAGGCGGAACACATGAAGAGGCTGTACCGGGAACAGAAGAGGAACAAATACCTGCAGGTGAGGCGGCTAGTGGAAACCAACATGCAACCAAAGCAAATAGCAACCAAAACTAATAACCTATAGGTGCACATGTGACTTACACTCTTGGTATAAATGAATTAAATCAAAAGAAAGTAACAGTCTATATATACAGCGTGTCGTTACCATCGCGGCAATAAATGAACACACGTCTAACGCTACTTGCCAATAATCATAAAAAATTATTAACGTTAAACAAAATCCATAATTAAAAAAAAATATTTTTCAAACAAACTTATTAAGTAAAAAAGACACAAAATTTGTAACATCCTATACAACTCGCGCCTCGCATTACAAGCCTCTCCTTCTAACAGTATGTTTTGTCTCTTGTAAATTCATTCAACCCATTCATAAGCTTTGTGACTTTTACAGATGAACTTTACGTTACGCTTTTATAGGTAAGGATGTTCTCTTTGTTTTGTAAAATTTAATAACTCTGTAAATATTGATGTTTAAATAATTTAAATGTTTAATACAACTTTAAAAAGTTATCCCCTATATGTGTGTTCATTTATTGTCGCAATGGTAACGACACGCTGTATATGTCCTATTGCTAGGCAAAGTTCTCTCCGGCACAGAATATGATATAACGGAATGTCCACCACACGACCCCATTGAGAACTTCACATATATTAGATTTTTTCTTGTTGTTATTTCGAAAATATGCATTTTTCCTATTATATTTTCCTTCACCGCTGAGCACGTGAAAAGTCGGCAAAAAATTAACTATTTCATTGGTTCGGGTACCGGAATTTGAAATCAGTTGGTACAAAAGCGCCTGGAGTCTGTGCCTTGCTGGCTCTGTAATTAAAAAGTTAAAGTAACGTGATTACACTGAGTCAAAAAATAGCTTAATGTTTAATGTACAATGCATTAAATTTTCATATTATACAACAAATTATAATTAAGATCACAAATCTAAGATTATCTACTATCTAAATAGAACCACGATGATTACATAAAATATGTGAATATATAATAAATCATATGAAATTCGTCAAACAGTTAAGCTAATGCCATACACTATCATTACAGCAAACACATTATGCTTCGAATTGGTTACCTAAGCTAGGTTAGGTGCTAATTGCTATTGCTCGGTGTATTGTAAGTTCAAACCCTAAACGGGACGTGACATAAATAGTGATTCCGACCTCGAGTACTTTTTTCTTGTTAGATTTCAGTAACAGAACATCAAATTAAAATTTTCTGAAGACTTATTCTGTTAATGGTAACTAAAATTTCTCAATGCTTTTAACTACTTAACAAGTTGCACCAGAAGAGCCTAAATCTATTTGCAGCGTACACGAACATTGCGCTATTATCGTGTCACTCAACGATAATACTATAAAACTGTTTAATCTCGTTAAAATGGGCACGCAATGGAGTTTGGTCGATATTCATAGAATACGGGAGTGGGTCAAATAACGGTTTGCAGCTGTAAAGATTTTATTCATAAGCTATAAAGTTTTACGTACGTAAACATATAATTATCATGGTTTAATATATTATGTCAAAGTCCATCAGAACTAATGCTTAGGTATATGGTATATGTATTTCACATTTGTTTTATAATTTAAAACATATCAGTAATCAATTTCCTAATCCTATTATTTATATTTACATAATTTTCGCATTTAAACAGTAATAATTAATAAGGGCGAGTGTCTCACTTTTTAGAGTTTACTTATTAGGTCATACCTAATAAGTAAACTCTAAAGGAGACATAACAAAAGACTAAGAAACAGTACAAACGGATTCTTGTTCTCACTTCAGAAAACATATACGTGAGGGAAACCAGCTTTTGAACGTTTGTTTGAATAAACAAGTGCGGAAACACAATCTAGCCAGTTGTGGTTTCACCGACACTGGGTCGTATACGTCGTTTTCCATTCAACTTGTAACTACTATTGTCTGGCTGTAGATAGTAGGCGCTAATGTCATTGACAAAAACCTCAAACTGTGCCGCGCACACTGCGAAATTGTATTTTTTTATTATTCAAAATACTGGTATATGTAATTGATATAATATCTCTTCTACTTGTAAACTTGCTTATTTTAAAATATAAAATAATACATATCAAATTTCCTTGTTATTATGAACGACAAGTCGTCGCCTATACATTTAATTGAAAGCAGATAACCTCAAATAACCGGTATTTGAGATTATCTGTTACACATAATATCATGATAATACCAATGTCTAGCTTCAAATTAAATAACATCTAAGAGTTCTCTTTAATAAAACGCATTCATATAGGAACAGATTAAAGAAACTCCTCTTATCTATTCTTTATAAAATCTTTATAACAAATATCTATATATTACTATTAATACAATCTGCGATTTTTTAACTACTTATACGAAAACTAATAGCATTATTGTTGATAGATATGTTAAGTTATAATTTTTAATTACTGTATAGTTTGCCTATAATTACTTTTAATTGATTTGAATCGCTAATGATTTGTGTGGTCAAGGAGGTTTAATTACCTTGTATCCGACCGACTTTTACGCCCTGATTAATAACGTAAAACAATCGTTCAAATCTTAAAATCAAATCAAATATTATTATTTTATCAGCTACGTTTTTAAAATTTCACTGCATTTGATTTTTAAACAACAACATGTAATTCACCGGATGCATTCCCTACTTTTTGTTAGGACAACGTACATTATAAACGGAATATATGTAAGATAGATAGTATAATTATTATACAGGTAACATAACATTCATAAAGAAAAGAAAGATAAAAACGAAATTCATGAGAAAAGAAGATGTATATATTTGTTCTGTTTTAGTTTAATCTAAACTATACTAATCTAGCGACCCTCCCATACATATGAACCTTCCTCTTGAATTCCGCATCAAGATCCGTTGTGAAGTTTTAAGGATCTAAGCGTACATAGAGAAAGACAGACAGCGGGATGATTTGTTATTATACTATGTAGTGATGCAAAGTTTACATTTCAAGTGACATTTTACCATAGTTACTCACTTGTTTTGCCTTTCCGGAAACCCTCCACTAACAATTAATCTTTATGGTATGGTATTAAAGTTCAAATTGACTTTTAAGTATTATTACGAATCTTTTGTACGGGAATATAGAAAATTGTTGTTTAGACTTTTTCGGACAATTTTTAAATTTTTTTCTTTCATAAGAACCTTCTCCTGATAATAACAAACACAACAAAAAAAGTGAAATCGGTCCAGCCGTTCACGCCTGATGGCGTGACCAAGGGAAATAGGGAATTAATTTTATATAGATAGATATAAGGATACGGTTCACCATACCGTTTTATCTTTTAAACATTATTTAGTTATAAAAAAAGTCAATAATCATCTGATTTGCTAGACTTTTGTGCTCTAAAGCAAAATGTATCATGTTATATTTGCATCTTTATGCAATAACTTATTTAAAAAAAAAAACTTACCAAATTCATTTTTACATCGGTTTGTCACTACAAAAAACTATAATACTTTTGGTAAACATCGCGATGATTTCTAATTTGTTACGCAACTACAGCTACGCCCCCTCTAAAAGACAGTTGAAAGCCCTTGAGTGAAACCACGCAATTTCCAACTGTCGCAACCGTCATCGAATACTCCAAGACGGCATCGCTTTTACTTTCAACCGGGAAACCTGTTTCGATCATATCTTACTAGTAAAACGTAAACCACTAAACGAGAAGTTGGAAGGCACGACGCCACAATAAAGCCACGACATAGACAAGTTTATTCAACGGCGTAGGTATCTCCAAACGAAAACGAATTAAACTTTTTTTATCTCAAGTGCTGCCCACCCTATTGGTAATAATTATTACTAACCATGTAGAGAACAAAAATAAAAACGGCAGTCATGAAACATTTACAATATTTCAATATAATGCACAAAGAATAACAGAGCACCAAACCTCGTATCATTACAATTGTGTTATCCGTAGCGTAGATAATGATACTGTTTTTAGAATTTTAAACCAACAGACATCCAACTTTCCAATCCGATTTTGCTGTGACAACCATTCGCATCAAAAACATCTAAAATGGTTGTACGTCCATTTTAGATGTTTAAGATTAAAACGTTATTTTTTTTAATGATATTAATGTAAAACACAGATAATAATGATACATATATTTTTATTACAAACTAGCTGCCCGGATAGACTTCGTTCTTTTTTTTACAGTATTTAACCTTAAGGAACATACATAAAAATATATTAGCCGAATTGCTCCAACCATTCTTGAGTTAAGCGCTTATCAACATTCATTTTTATTTATTAAGATATAGATTATTACGGTAACAGGACTTTACTTCGTTAAAAATAAATTATATGATATAATTATCACCACGGCTAGTTTAGTGGAGGTGAAATACAATAATAAATCAAATAATATATCAATAAATACAAATAACTTTATTTATAATGTTATGTGCCGATTTACCACTTAATCGGTGGTTAAGGTAAATAAGGCGTTAGGAAACCTGCATACCTAATAATTAACATAAAATATTGAAAAGATATTTTAATACCAGCAATCCGCTTGTATTGTATCTTATTGAATCTTTTGCCGAGCCGTGGGACATATCGTGTGAGGTATGTTACTTTAACTTACCTTTCATATCCTTGTTATCCCTGTTATACTTGTAGTTTTTCTCCCAGGCCAAAGCATTGCTTCATTTTGTATTGAAATATTTTCAATAATTAGCATACGTAACCCCGATTAAATTCTCCACTAACTTCATAAATGGACTTTAGCAAAATAAACACATTGTTTTCATATTGAGAACTGGTAATGAAATATAATATATTCATTACACAAAATAAACCAGTCATTACTGATACATTTTTCAATACATTTTACTTAACGTTCATCTGACCACAGACAGATATTTGACTACCAAACCAAGTCTGACCTTGATTTTATTGCATTCCTATGACATGACCTACTCTCGCGAGCCAAATTTTATGAGCACTCTTGACGATCTTAAGAATAAAAAAAAATTTGTATAAGAATTTTTTTATATAACAATAATAACATAACTGTAGTAGGTACTCGAATTTCATATATATTTACTAACAAAGTTCCAAACAGTTTGCACCTAGCTTAGCCCCTTCTTAATTTTTCAGGAAAAAGACATTCATCTGTTCGACATAGAAGCATTTGATGCATCAATAAAGGTGATGTTTGAAAGAAGTGAGAAGAATAATAATACTATACTAGGACTGCTACAATAAAATTCCAATATTTTAAATATTAAATGTTGTTTTAAAATAATTATGTAAATAAACGAAATAATCCCTTCTTATTATGTGCTTATTTGATATCGCTTCATGTTTTAATTTTATATGTTTTTTTTTACTTTTAAAAATAACAGAAAATAAAAAGTATTCATGTATTTAATACATTGAACTCCCTGCATGTATGGATTTTCATCTACTTTCTTGCAAGTGGAAGAGATTTAATCGACACATGGCGGTCCTAGTTGTTACTAATCTATTATTTTGGTTTTCTTAACTCCTTTTGCGTCTAGAACGGCTTCTATTTTATGATACATTTGCGCAAGTTTTCTCAGCATGGACTTATCAAGTTATAAGAAATCTTAATAAAAATAGCAGGTCTGACATACTTTTGCTGACTTCGATTGTAAGACACATCCTTACTAATATTATAAACGCGAAAGCTTGTATGTATGGATGGATGTTTGTTACTCTTTCACGTAAAAACTACTGAATAGATTTTAATGAAACTACAATAATATAGCTTATACATCAGAATAACACATAGGCTATAAATTATAAAGATATTGTGTGAATTGTCCAAAATAACGTTGATAAGTGTCAACTAAGTAGGAAAAAATTCATCCATCTGCAAGATATTCTTGTGTAAAATAAAAAACTCATTGTCAATTCCCTTTGGCCGCGCGGGCGAAGCCGCGGTTAACAGGTAGTGTTTAATACGTGCACAACTAAATGTGGAAACTTTTAATTGTGCCTGCTGTATTTGTTTCCCACTATTCTAATTACATGCTAGCTCTTAGTTACTTGTAAATTGTTAAAAAGGAATGTTTCATCGGCAGGAGCTTCAAGATATGCAGAACAGGAGACACCAGGACAACTTCATGCCATCCCAGAAGACAGTAGTCCCGCTGAACCGGTACGATGACGCAGAGAAACTGATCGCAAGAGCGTTATACGCTTTTAATGGACAGACGACCCGCGAACTGAGCTTCAAAAAAGGCGATCTGATAAACATTCGACGTCAGATCGACTCGAATTGGTATGAAGGCGAAGTGCACGGAAGAATCGGTCTCTTCCCTTACAATTACGTTGAGGTAGGCATACATTTTTTATTTGCCCAACAAATATCACATCTCGTCTATCGAATTGATTTTAAACCCAATTAAAATAAGATAAAAATATACGGATAGATACTCAAGTAATATGATTTGTAAACTAATAGAAACTAATATAGGTAATTTTTTTTTACGAGTGTAATAACAAATTTACAAAGTATGTAGTATATAGGTGTTATATTGGATAGTGACTTTAATCCAAATACTTTTTGCGAATTCCCCTTTAAAAATTAGTGTTATCAATAAACTATTGTTGTCCTTTCAATTAAATGTGTTAACGTAACGGAATTATTTCAAAGAATTACTCATTAAATAAGCTCTAGGTATTGTGTACTAGTTATCTAAACAATCTTATCTAAACCTTTATCGCGGTACAGTCATAACGGATGTTTATGCACGTCTGTAATTATCATGCATAATATGTCGGTGACTACAGTTATCATATTGGGCAAGGTTGTCATATGAGTGGGAGGTCATAGTCGCGATCTTGAGTTCACGACTTGTACCCCCAGTGCCAGGCATGATTCAAATTTCCGTTCTACCGATTACTCACTTGCAAAAATCACATTCTCACATTTAATATAATTCGACGATAAGTCTTACCTCTTGCCTTTGGCTATACAAGAAATATAAGTTAGAGCTTTACTTTTGATTGTTGGTAATAAAATGTTTTTTTTTATTAAATTTCCGAAATGTACATACATTACGAATACATACGATTCTTATTTGATATGCGTTTATGACTTGTCGGTTTCATTATTAATTTTATAGTTAAAAAATTCAGGAGACGTAATAAATTGAATTCATAAATGCACCAAAGTTTCATCTAATCAGATTCAAACAATAGCTTAAGACGACTGTTAGCCATGAAACTGTCTATCCGATTGCAGATTCTAAAGGGCGACTATGCCCATTCGCCAAAGAAGCCGGTGACTATGGAGGGTCAGGCTCGCGCCAAGTTCGACTTCACGGCGCAGACAAACCTGGAGCTTCCCTTAAAGAAGGGCGAGGTGGTGGTGCTCACGAGGCGCATCGACCACAACTGGTGGGAGGGAAGGAATGGCACGAGGACCGGTATCTTCCCGGACAGCTACGTGACCGTGTTGCAAGAACCCAGTCAGATCAACCCACGTGAGTTTCTTAGTTCCCACCGCTCTTGAAAGTTTTTGTACACCACAAAATTAGCCTTTTGAATTAAGTATGCTAACGCTTAATTTCGTGGTTCATACGAGGCTACATGAAACTTTACAACAAGATTCTTCAACAGAATCCCGGCCCGACGTCAAGGAACAAACAACCAAATCCAAATCATCCGTGGGTAACGCATGATGAAATACGTGAGAATCAAATCCACCACCGCCGGCGCCGCTGCTTATGGCTGCTTTATATAAAGCTGCTTATATAACTGCGCCACCAACTCTCTATAATAACTACTTGCCACGACTTTTTTTGCAGCTCCTCCGGTGACGTCGAGCGTTGACAAGCCGGCGGCTGCGCCGGCGGCACACGGCCTGGTGAATGGGGCAGCACGTCGTGGTCTCCAACAGCACAGTTACGTCCCGCAGCACAACAGTCCAGCCCTGGCGAATGCACCGCCCGCGACCGCGCCACTGCCCGGTGCATTATTATTTCGTTTAATTAATGCTTCATCACAAACAAAGGACTCTTTAGCCGCCAGCTCGGTTGCTCAATATCAGCCTATTACCGTCTACTGCTGACTCCTCCCCCAAAGTGCGGCGCCGCCAGCTCGGTTGCTCAATATCAGCCTATTACCGTCTACTGCTGACTCCTCCCCCAAAGTGCGGCAACTATCCCGGTCCTGGGCAGCCCGCATCCATCCGCTGCCCGCCACCTTTCTTAAGTCGACTTTCCATCGTGCTGCAGGCCGTCCCACACTACGTTCTCCTAATTGTTGTGTCCACTCTAACGTGTCGGCTCCAGCGACCATTAGTACATCATCTTCTCTATCATTCGAATCATTAATGATAGAGAAGATGATGTACTGATGAAATCATTATTTTTATCTAAGATAGAGTCTGTGGCCAGGGCAATAAGAATGTTATAGATGAAGGAATTAGTCCAGAGACACCAAACCCACGATTTTTCGATAATAGCTAATACTAATATGCAAATTTCCTCCTTCGTTCACAATTTGCACAAATTCAAGCTAACATTTGAATTCCTAACATAAAGGCCATAATACCTAGAACCATCGCTTCTCCAGGTTACGGAGCGAAGGCGCAGTCAAGTACGACGGAGCGCGGCTACGGGCCCCCACGATCGGCGGGCACAGACCTTAACAACGCAGAACCTCTCTACGTGGACACCAATGCGGAGGCCGTGCCGTATGTACTATACTGTATAGAATTTGGCATAACTATTTCTGTAAAGCCTACGAAGAACTTCATCAATACACCAATCGATGGAATTTGGCATTATTATTTCCGTAAAGCCGTCAGTTAATTGAACGATCGATTGCATGCGTATAAAATTGAAGCACAGGAATTGTTACTATTTTCCCCCCTTATTTTTTATTAATTTGTTGGTTAAACAACATGGTTCCGAAAATAAATGATGGACATGCTGTGCTAACCTCACCCAGTGTGGGATAAGGACAAGAGAAAGCAGCAGATTTTTATTCATTGTTTCTTTAATGATAAAGTTTAAAAATACATTTCGTGATTGTCTATCGTAATTTTTGTTTCAGCTAATTTTATCGTTAAAAATATATATGAGCCTTGCTCATCATATCTAACAACTATACAGTTTATTTCAGGTATTTCTCTGCGTGATAGAGTTCGTAACGAAGACATCCGCAGTAGAACTAAGAAAACCGATATAGCTCAGAGGATTAGCAAGCTGAAGTGGCGATGGGCCGGCCATATAGCTCGTAGAACCGTAACCATTGGAGAAGAAAGGTTCTCGAGTGGCAGCCTCGTACTGGCCATCGCAGTGTAGGACGGCCCCCTACTAGATGGAGTGACGACCTGTGCAAATGTGCGGGAAGTCGATGGATGCAGGTGGCTCAGGATCGTACTTCATGGCCGTCTGTGGGGGAGGCCTATGTTCAGCAGTGGACTCAAACAGGCTGAAATGATGATGATGATGATACAGTTTTTAAAGAATATCTTTCCAATAATAACATTTCACATTCAGACAATTGTTGATCAAAACAACATAAAAAGGCTTTTTTTACGAAGGAAAATAATTTACTTATTGTGTTAGTTTATTTTACCCATGTTTACGCTGTTTTGTTCATTTTATAATACAGAGTTTTGTGCATACGTTTCAGATACCGAGCTATGTACAAATACCGACCTCAGAACCCGGACGAGCTGGAATTGCAGGAGGGCGACACGGTGTACGTTCTGGAGAAATGCGACGACGGCTGGTACGTCGGCTCCAGCCAGCGGACGGGACGCTTCGGCACCTTCCCCGGTAAGGCCACCTTTCTTTTTACGTGGGAGAAAAATATGGATCACCGGCCATCATCGGGAGAGTGGCAGGGGATGCACCTATTTCTATCGCATCGGCTTAGGACAGGGGAAAAGGTAGCGATTATGGCCTTTTTTCGGGTACGACTCCCAGTCCGCCTAAATGGTGCTCACCAAGCTCACATTCCGGTATGGCCACCGTCACAAGGTACTTCCAGATAGTTCTTTCCGACTGAACATAAGAGACAGTAAGAGCTTCGCTTCTAAGAAATATGTATCGAAGTATTCCATACATATTTCTTTGAAGCGATGCATTGTGGATAAATATGTGTGGAAATGACTCTTGCTCTGCATTTGCAAGTCTCCTGACTGCTGCTGATTTTACACTGTTTTTTGTTTGTTTCATTAAAAAATGAAAGACCAAGACCGAATTGGTACTTGTCGGTTTAAGAACCGAGAGAAGTCTAGCGAAGTAGATATTTATCGTTATAATACGGATAGTTATCGCTTAATTAAATCTAATCTAGAATAAAAAAAAATTTAGATTCGTGAAATTGAACAGGAACATTTGACATATGATAAAATGTTAGTTAGTTTGTAAAGTAACCGGCAATCCGGCAAAAAACGGTATCGTGGATGAAAGTTTGTACACGTCCGCTATAGTCCAACCAATCGTGTCGGTCTCCGCGGTTAATATTCCCTGCCACCCGCCCTGTATAGACCTGAAATCGACTTCTGGGCAATCGAATAGATTTTCAACCGACTTAAAAAACGGAGGAGGTTTTCAATTCGACTGTATTTTTTTTTATGTTTGTTACCTCAGAACTTTCGACTGAGTGAACCGATTTTAATGATTTTTCTTTATTTGAAAGCTGTGTCTTCCCATGTGATCCCATATTAATTTCATTGGGATTGGATCTTGACCTCGAAGATACGAAGGGAACTCCTGAAAATCAAATACAAAATGAACACAGAACGAGATATTCTAATTCGGTTTTGTTTTCGTTTATAAAAAATTTACTTGTTCAAGATGTTTGCCGGTCTCTTTAAGTACGGATGTACTTAGAGACTAAATTCGCCCTTGGAGCGCAATAACTTCATTTATTTACTAAGCGAAGTGCTATTAATAAGACATTAAAACTGAATTACACAGATAAATCGATTCTGGTTATAATTATATTTTATTCTTATAGTCATAATTCAGTTTGTTGAGTATTAAATATTAATAATCTCCAAATTGCGATGCGGTCAATTTAACGTATTTTAGATTTTCGAGTACATTTATTTATTTATTTATTTTTTTATGCGAAAAGTTGTCAAACGAGCAGAAATAATGAATACCGCCACCCATGGAATCTGCCACTCCCGAGGGTTACAATGCGTTGACAACCTTTTGAAAATGGGCTCCGACTACCTCACTCACCAGACGAAACGCGAAAGTATTTCTCATACTTACTTTACGCTGGTCTTTTAGCCTGCCCATTCGTTTGCCGAGCTGCTGCGTGGCCCTACCACCGTAGATTTTTTTATTATTATCTGCGACAAAGGGGGCGATTAAGCTTGTTTAGGAATAACAGTTGAGAATAAACGTTTCAGGTAACTACGTGGAGCGCATCTGATAGCGCCAGCCGTCGCTGCTGCGTCGGTTGCGCCGCGCAGCGTTCTGCGCGCGACGCTCACACTGACGCATGCGCGAACACTGTCACACACACATGCACACTCACCCGTAACCCACACGGCGAAACCTAACGCGATAACTATTCATTGTTGGTATACCACACGCACACAACCGCGATGCCTTCGAAACGAACTTTATACGTATCGGTTGCCCAAAACTTAAATACCCCTGACGGAAGTTGGCTCTGCGTTTGTAGCATTGAGCATAACTATTTTGTAACGCCTAAACAGAACTCCCAGATAAAAAAAATATTCAAAACGGAACAACTAAGCAACTGTACGCCAACATGTAGTGAGAGCAAGACAGAGAGATTAGAGCTACAACGCGCTTCTTTCAATGCATAGAAAATTATAAACTGTGTGCCCTAACTACAACGAACTTGAAGGTGTAGTTAAGTTTTGGTCGCTTTATACAGTAACGTTGCCGCGTGTGATATATATAGGATGTGTTGCCCTAAATTTGCGGTGTTTTATCACTCCAAATTATATAAGTAACACATACACATAAAATACGTTCAGCTCGTGATTTTCAAAGAACGTTTAAAATGTATAAATTTCTGTACCGTGATGATATAGAAATAATTCGCTGTGTGGTTTACGGTAATTACCGTATTTGGATTGGTGACAGTAAATATGATGTTACTGTGTCGTTTAGATTAGCTGTACTTAGATCTTATGTGTAATGTAACGGTTTATATACTGTAATGTCTTCAATGAAAAGGATATTACCAAAATACAACCATGACTTTTTTAAACATTTTATATAATGATATTGACATAAGTTCGACCGCATCGCCGTAAATTTTAGCTTCCATTCATCCCGAGATTTCGGGCATAGGCTTTCGAATATAACAATTCTTCTTAATAGTAATGTATTATAACTCGTTAATACCACCAACATTGTGTACATGAACCTATCCAAAGTTATTTTTACAACCCAAAGAATATGTTTATTGGATAATTGCGGAATTGTATAATTGTATAAAAAAATAATAAAAATACTTATATACCTGTAAAGTTGTTCGGTAGATATAGTTATTTATTCTAAATGGTTAGAGCGAGGTTGGGGCTCCTCTTTTAAAATTACTTTTTAAAAGAGAGCAGCTGGGAATATAGCGTATCGATTAAAATGACTAACACATTGACTAACTTTTCTTCTTTTCTTTTTCAACTCTACGACCTTTACCCATATTTATTTACCTACAAATATTTGTATGAAATTTGCCGATATATGTATTTCGCTATTACTTATAAAATTATTTCCCATACTATTGTAAACTATCAGGATTTAATTAAACTGAAGCATTTACAAATCGTAGAGTTGACAAAGAACAATTATAACACATCGATAAAAATCGAACTTTGAAAATAACAATATGAAACTGACAGCAAAGTTTTGATGTTTTGTTAGAATTGGCTTGTACACGGCATAATTCATAATTGTAACGGTGTAAGCTAACTTATTTGGTCAAAGTGCAATGTTTCATCAGCTGTCTAATTTTAGGTATAGGTCGCGTTAAACTTAATTACGCCTGAGTTAAGTTGGCTCCGCGGGTTCTATCCTACGTATGCAGTACCGTCGAGTACCAGTATCAACAAACTAGTTATCGCTTTAAATGTTTTATTAGGCAATGTAGTATCCAAAAACGCAAATATAAGCCCAACCGAAAAACCACGCTGTTTGTAACTATAGGTTATTACACAAAATAGGATAGCAAATGCGGAATTAACGAGAGGGCAAAATTGTATCCCCGTATCCCGCAAAAACCCTTCAGACAAACATGACCCTAGAGCCGCTTAAGTCTTGGGTGTATTGTATAATCACATATATACGACGCAATACTCATGAGTAATTTATAATATGAAATCTAGATTCGTTTAAACAGGATCAATATAAAAAAAAGCTTCGTCTACATTGACGTAGCTTTGTAATTCTCCAACTATACGCACAATCTGTTAATAGAACAAGATTTGTTAATAGAACGTATCCGTAGGTTTCATATTTCTATAGATAACTTCACAACCGTTAGAGGCATTAGGGCGAGTATAATTGGCAACGTTTGACAATACAATTTTTATGCTTAATAATTGGGATAAGAAATATATATTCGAATGTAACGTTATACGAGTGCTATTAGTCTGTGTAATTCAAGTTATTACCATTGTACCCAAAAACTTCGTCTGCATCGACGTTCTTAGTAATATCTAGTCATCGGATTTTGTATGCATATTTTTACATAGCTGTGTTAAACTTTCCCTTCGTCTGTCATGGACGCAATGTGTTCGCTTAAACCCCTAATATAACGTAAACTAATAAATGGTAAAACGATATGACTTTGTAAATTAACGTCTGTAGTGTAATTTAAGGTAATGGCTAAACCAAAGCTGAATGTTTCTCTCGCCCTATGTGAATGCATGTTTTGAGTAGTAATGTTTCTCATTTACTATTTTAACATTTTGTTGTATTTTACTTTTGTTAATTTATTTTTAGTGGCACAAATGTTTTATTTTGTTGTTGACACCCCGACATAAAATGTAACATTGTAACTGGCTATTGTTTTATATCATCACACTTAATAATTATAATCATTTTATTACATGATTGTTTTATTTATAGTCCTCCCTTTTTAAATCGAGTGATCAGGATCAGGTTGTAAGGTCATTATTGTAGAGATAAAAACACAAAAAACAGAAAAAGAGAAATTGTATTTCTTGACATTATCAATGTGCTTTGTCTTCATGATAATAAAAGTTCAATATTTCATCTACCAATGTATACGAAATTCCTGCATCGTAGAGCCATACACAATTCCTTAAGTACGTCGGACCCACCGTCGGAGGTCTTGCAAAAAATAACACTACACACTCAGTTAGTGCATTAACAAACACCATAGATCGTCCTCGCCTTCGAGCACAGCGAAACCAGCACAACGCGTACACTAGGTACACCAGCGTACCAGGGTGGTTCTCACCGCCCCCAGCCACCGGCTAACCAAGCGCAGTCAACGACCATCGAGGTCACGGACCGCACCGAACCTCGATGGCCCGTAGACGACATGCCATAATTAACGCACGCATGAGTACATGCGCGGCCCTACCCACTGACGAGGGCCTCAAACCCAAGGATTCTGGCTAGCCCACAGGTTCTGCGTTCGCTGAAGCTTTAATAGTCTAAGGACCGAAAGCATCAATTATACAAAATACCCAATTCATTACATAAAATAATGTAGGGTAAGGTAACGTTTTAGTTTGCATCCAGTATACACGCCCAACATTAATATCTTTAGTCGGCGAACAAACAAAACAAAATTTGAATATGAATATTACGTAAGTGCAATTAGTGATCTTGAAGAAGATACTACCTTAAGATATGTAATAAAATTTTATTATGAAAACTATACATTATCAATAAATATGCAATAAAATAGTGATATAGAATTTTAAAAAAGCATATAATTATGTTTATCCCGTAGTTTTGTATTATTTAAAACTTCAAGGACATAACTTTTGAGCGGCAACACTGCATTGGTTGCTTAGGAACGCCGTTAACAACAATATTGAGATATTGTGCGAGTATACTGCAGTAATTATAAATTAAAAAAGGCTTAACGTTTTTTACTTACTTAAAAGGCGAATATGGGTGACACAGATTGGAGGAAGATACTGAGTTTCTCTCAGAAAGAGTTGTTAGAAGCCGATAAAGAAGAGTTATGCGAAAGTCTATCGTGGATGGATGCCGACGATATCGATTTGAACTTTTCCGACTTGAAAACTCTATTTAGGTTGGCCCAAGATATTCTCAAATATAAAAGTGAACAGGTACATATTACACATTCACATTACGTCTTTCCTTTTGTTTAATAATTAATATTAAGGTTGGGTAAGTTTTTCAATTGACGAATCTTTTCAAATGAATGAGAAACGTTAATGAAATTACGGTAAAAAAAATAAAAGACATAGGGATACGTTTACTTTTTATTAAAAGAAATTAAGTTTTTGTTATTTTCATTAAAGAAATCTGCCATTTTATTTTAACTTCAATACATAAATAAACATGTGGCGAGTATTGCAAACTAATAATGTTTTGATAAAGATGACGCATGTCATCAAAAAATGTTCCGCTTTACATTACTATGATGACAAAATAATTATAATGAATTTGTGACAAATGCTATAGTTAGAACAAATGATACGGAACGAGATAGCAGTCTATAAAGTTGACATACGCTAGCCATAGATAGAATCGGACCGAACACAAGAGAAATTAACCCAATTGCAACTCCGTAATTAGAATGCCTCCGTTTCGGCGCGCTAGTGCCCACTACCCCGTACTACTTCTACTCGTTGACTGCAAACATACAAAATATATCGTAGCTTCATATCTATTATGAAAATTGATACACAGAGATCTTAACACTTTCAAGCTCTATAATTATATTTTTTAATTTACTATTACCGTTACTTTTGCCGCTTTGTTGTATTAAAAAGCAATAAATAATGGTGCTCGTCAAGTAAAAATATGTTTCCAAATTAGGTTATTTGTGTTATTACGAAATAACGTATCAATATTGTATCCTCCAACGAATTAAAAACCTAAAATACCTCTTAAAATATTTGTTTAACATGAATTTACGCAAAATAGTGTAAAATTACAAGATTTAATTTTTGTCCCTCAAAATCTGGAAATTTATTAAAATTTTCACATATTAATAATTTCAACCGTCACATCTTTTGATATTATGTATAGTTTTCGGCACATTTTATTAAGTAAGTAGCAAAGTAGTTTTAAAAGTCATTTTTCAATCCATTAAAAACTTTTAAGTGAATAACGTACATAATTAATATAGCACATAAAACCGACACATCGGTAATTTGTAATATTACACTCGGATATCAATAATAGTTCCTGTGACAGGTGAAGAATGTACTAGGAGAGCTAGAAAATGTTCAAAATAAACGTCGGAAAAAGAAGCCGCGTAATGAGGATACTGGTAAGCCATAAATTTTATTTAATAAATAATTAAAAAATGCATTTTACTATATTATTATTATGTATAAAATAAATAAATTGTATATCGTCTTTAATATTATTCACTCTGAAATATAAATAAAGTAAAAGTGATAAAAATAAATACGATAAGAAATGTACAAAAATGATATGTTACAGATAACACTTTCGAAACTATAATGCCATCAAGAAGAAATAATAAAAGCTAACAAAGACATTTTGGAGCAACTTTACGCAGACATTGTCGAACTGGAAGAACGTAAAAGCAAATACAATGAAGAAAATTATTTGGAAAAAGACAGCGAATCTAGTCCCGATGCATTGTCCGAAATAAATACTAAAGCACACCTTCAGAACGAAATCGTTCAGAAAAACAGACACATAAGAAAATTATTAGGAGACATTAAGGTTTTTACTAAATATTTCTAAAAATTCGATAAATATTTTATTCAACATGAATAATATTTTAAAGTTATTTATGGCCTTGAATGATATAAAGTCCGACTTGCAACCCTTACTTCAAAACAAATTCCAAAGAATTTGGGTGCAAGGTGAAACAATTAGCAAACGTCATCTTAAAAAAGTAATTGGTTGAACTAAATTATTATTACATTATAGAGATACAGTGCAGTTATATAAGATTTGATAATAAAAAAATATATTCCTTTTATAAGTATTATAAAGTAATAAATGATAACAGTTTTTTCAATTATGGTATGTATGCTCAAACTCTTTCAAGTTCCCTGCAAAATTTCAATTATTTCTGTATTTAGATTTTAGAGCAAGAAAATGAAAAATTTAAAGAAAAAATTTCAATACTAAAAGATAAATTGAAGGAAGCCACTGTGATAATAGAAAATTTAACGGAACAAATGCTTAATCTTAACAACGAGTGCAGCCGTTTGAGAGGTAAAATAAAACAATTAATGTACTATATATTTATCTAGCATTCCATTATAATAGTAATACTTTTATATTTAAGATAATCTGGGATCTTCCGAGCAATTAAAGTGTGAACTCTTAGAGAAAATTGATGTTTTAAAAGAAGAGATTTCTCCCAAACAAATTGATAAAAGTAATGAATACGAGGCATCAAAAACAAGAATTCAGCATCTCAAGGTAAAATTTAACCTACATTTATTTTATTACATTGAAAATAAAGGAAAATAAAAACAAAGTAATTTTAAATAAAACAAAAGTTATAAATGGTTTTCCCCGATATGAAAGCATTTATGATTCGTTCATTTTATAGAGCATTATTCGAACGCAGAGGACAGCGATAGACAATTTGTCGGTAGAAAACAAAAAACTAAAAGAAAATTGTATACAAACAACAGAACCTGTTCCCCGCATTATTCTGGAAGAAAAGGTCAGTAATTCGGTCTGAAGTGGAAGTATTTTACTTTTGTGTTCCGTCTGGTGAGAGGTACCGGGGCCGAGAGATAAAAGGTGGGACTTCTTATAAGGCACGACAATACCACTCTGAAATTGTCGATGTCCACAGGCGGCTACCACTTAAAATCCGATTTAATCACATTTGCAGATATTTTTAAATACATTTTTATGAGATATAATTTAGACTGGAATATTAATAATATATATTAATAACGTAATTTTTACATTACACTTACGCACGTTGCGTTAGTGTCTCTCATCAAAGCAAGTCATGTTTTTAATTTGAGCGTTAGAATATAATAAGTATTAAGATATCCTCGAGTGTCATTAGTTGTCATTAGTTGTCATTAGCAATAAAATTAATTACCTTAAGTTGACAATTAAACATGCAAATCAAACACCTTCACTTTTATGTTTAATACAGAATAATGAGGTGGAAAATTCTAGAATAAGGGAATTAGGAGAAAAGTTAGCTGATGCTTCAAATGAAATACTACATTCTGCCAACGTAATAGATGCTCTAAAAGCTGAGAACAAGCAGTTAAAAACGATTCTTAAGGAAACCCATGACGCTACTGACCATGACATCAAAAATGAGAGTGATGATGGCAAAGAATTTAATATAATTACAAAATTAAGGAAAAAAGTTCATTCGCTAACAGTCGCACTTAAGAACGCTGAAGAAATGTTAAATAAGAGAGAAAAAGAAGTAAAACTCTTATTTTTTAATATTTAAAATTTTATCGCAAGAGTTCTTATTTAGCTCTTTAACCCCATTAATTTATTTTGAATTTTCTAGATCTTAGAATTATCTGGCGAAATAAATGTTTTACAATCCGATGAAGGGATAAATAATCTACTCACTACGCTAAAAATTAAAAAGAGAGAGATAAAAATTAAGGACGAGAAAATTAAATCGTTAATAAAAAATATTAATAAACTTCATAACATTGTCAACCAATTACAACTTGAAAATGAAGCTATGAGGTAAGAGACGATTATCCTCTTGATGTTATTGTCTTGACTTTACGTTTTTATTAATTGTGCTTTAATATTTAGGCAGCGATTTAACTTGGGCTGGGAAGACAAAATTCCAACAGAAGGAATATTACTCGAGTATCATAATTTAAAACAAGAAAAAGTGGCTTTGAATGAAAAACTGCTCGCTTTTGAAAATCAATTAGTTGCAATAGAAATCGATAATAGAGAAAAAGCCACACTCATTTCTAAACAAACAAGGATGCTTAAAAAACTTGGATTTAGTAATTTACAAATCACCGAAATACCCAACACCAGATAATGATGACAGAAAAACTGAGAATCATCAGGAAGATAAGTAAGACAACGTTTCAATCAATAGTAATGACTTAATGTTTAAATTGTTTAATATGTATATTTTAATGAGAATTATTATACAGGCAAAAGCAAAAAAGTAACGAAAAATATATCCTTTTAAATGAAGGATTAAATGTTCAAATATTGGTTGAAGAAAATGAAGGATTACGTAGGGGGCTTGAAGAAATTTTAAACTTTTTAAAAGGTATTATTTCATTTGTTTTCAAGGGCTTGAAGAAATTTTAAATTCTTGAGAGGTATTATTTCATAGAGGGTATTTAAGAATTAATTGAATCAAGAAAAACGTTAGGTCGGAAACTATGATTAACTCAATGTGAGTTATGTTACAGTTTATTCTTGAGGATTAAAACGACTGTTCCGACACGATACACTTTGTTTTTATCCTTATTGATTAAAATACCAGGCCTTTTTCACCCATCTATCTATAACAATACATCCATACCAATTTTCAACAGTTTTAATCGTTTAAAAATTGAAATTTTTAATTTTAAAATATGTACGGTATCTAGATTCCAGCTCCTCGGGGCTATTGTCTTTTGAGTGCCCTAGCTTAGAAGCAGTCTTACACGCCTTAGAAGCTAGACATGCAGCTGGTTGGTTTGCGCCGCATTTAGCGACCACTATGCAACTGAAAGCAGCTATGGGCGGTAAAGATGCTTTACTCTCCGCTCTTCACCAGTCCAGGTATTATAAGTATTTTAAGAAATAGTAAGCATCATGATCACCTAATGTCTTTTTGATAGGGATGACGTAACTGGCGCAGCACTGCTACGTAAAAAAGTTACTGCAATAATGATTATTTTATATGCGAAAACATTAAAGATTTGTAACTCAGTCGACGGCCATCGTTGTGGTCTCATGATCCACATAATGGCGCCGACGGTCCATAGCCCACATTCCCCTCGTCACTTATACACAAATCTTCGCACACATGCACTCTTCCAGTACAAGGTCTATCCAACTCGTCGTCAAATGAGTTTCATTTTCATAATTTATTTCCAACCTGTACTTGGCTTGCAATCTCACACTTCATTAACATGTTAATATAATATCTTCAATTTTAATAATAGTTATTGCTATTTATCGCTGAGTATGTGGAGTATTTCAAATGTTTATTATATATTATAAGTAAAACTGTAATTTTTTTTGGTATTTTCAGAAAAGAGATATTTGATTTAATGACACAATTGACTACAGAATCTCAAAAGTGCGTAGACCTCAAACATAAATTGGTTGAAACAGAAAATATAATCGAAGAACTTAAAAATAATAAATTACAGAATACTAATAACAAATTCGGTGAATTTAGTTCATGGGCACTTTGTCAAGAAGAAAATAATGTCGATTTATGTAATAAACTAGAAATAGAAAAATTAAGCTTACAAAGAAATTATGCTTATGAACAAGAGGTGAAGAATGCTTTAATATATTTTAGGAATAAATATGAAGTGTTGTATGATAAAATGGCCGAAATCATAATAAATATAGCAGATGAAAAACATAATTGGAGCATCATGGAAGAAAATTATAAGGCGCAAATTGAAAATTTAAAGACACTTAAAAACACAGATGATGAGGAGGCGAGTGACATTTCTCCTGGATTAATCACTCGGCCCGAGTCTACTTTTTTACAAAGAAAATGTGATTATCTTGAAGAACTGTATAGACGTTCAAGAACGTCGTACGAAAATGTAAAAAATGAGTTTTTAGAAATAAAAAAAGCTGATTTAAAGAAAACTGCAAAACATGAATCTCAAATTCAGTGGTTAATGTTAACAGTTCTTAATCTCACAGATAAACTTCGAAACTCTATAAATGAAGAGGTATTTTGGAAACAAAATTCAATGCTTAATGAGACGCTTACAAAATATCGTCAATTAATAGACAGTGACCTGAAGAAAATTATTGATTCTAATAATCTTCTTGCTCATTTAGAGAAGAGTAAAAGGAATGCTATTGATTTTATCCTTGAGGAACTTATGCAACATAACTGTACGTATCTGAAAATATATGTTCCTTAATGTCATGAAATATTTCAAATCTGATATTTACTAAGAAGCATCATCTTAATAACAAAATAATTATTATTAACCATTATAGTAATGATTCTCGTTTTATTTTGGTGCTTAATTACACATGAATTATTTGGCAGATTTTTTTATCCTTAGGTTTCATAAAAAAATTTTTTACTTTTAAAACATTAAAAGTATTTTGATTTCTTGTGTTTATGCAAATTCCATAGTTGGTTAAATGAAGCTATCTTATAGATCTGATCGCGGTTTTTTTTTTTTATTTTACATTCCGAACTTTTCGAACACTTACAGCCTTCATAGTCGCAGGGCAGACTGTCTATCGCGATGAAATAGTTGTATTGAACCATATTAAACGTAAATTAATTTTTTGATGTTGCTAATCTCTGCACGTAAGATGAAACATTAAATTTTTTAGAAAAAAGGACAAAAAGTTTTTCGCCTGTGCAAACATTTAAATATATCGAAAATTTTTATATTAAACGTAGTAAGAATTTAAACTAGTAATGCACAGAATGGCGTATTCATATTTCAAACTTAATGTTATCGTATATGTAAAAATTTAATAAATTTGACTTTTGGTGAGAAAAAAAAATTTCAGCTAATGACGTCAAAGACATTGTTAATAAAATTGACAATACAGTTTCCCAAACACAACTGCAAGAGATTAGTCTAGAATTAGAATCCAAAAACTTAGAAATAGATACACTTACCAAGAAAAACATGGAGCTACAAGAAATGCAGATTAAACTGATGTGAGTAATGCAAAAGCAATATAATTTATGCTTCAAATTTATGTAAATTGACATTTGTTTTTAATTTCTCTGAACATTTTATTGATAATTTTTAATAATATTTGTTTAAACATTTTTTAACGCTTGAGTACACAGCGAGCAATATTTTAGTATATTTTATATTATATAATTACCTACAGCGACTCTACGATTGCATCCGAGACAAAGGATGAAATAAACATGATGAAACAACGTATTACTCAACTATGTAAAGAAAATTTTGCTCTGAAAGAACAATGTAAAAACGTCCAAAGTCAAGTGGATGTAGTAATTTCACAGGTGAGCAGTAAATTAAAAGTCTATTTTTCTAAATCCTATTAAAAGTCTATTTTCCTAAAACCTTAGGATTTAGGAATGAAATAAATGAATGAAAAAATGAATGAAATAAATTTCATTTATACAATGCAGGCTTTAAATATTCAATAAACTTCATCATTGTCGTCACGTCATTAAGTTAGGAATAACTTCTTCAATAAAAGTTGTTTAGTTCGTAGATTTATTTATCTGTATCTTAGTGGATAGTTAAACATTAGGAATGTGCTCCTTTTTATTCAAGTTTTTTTTTTTATTAGCATTCTAAATGGCAAGTCGAATTTATATTACAGAGAAAAGATAACGAACATAGACATTTATGCTATGAAACAGAAATAAACATGTTGAGACATCAAGTTCTAGACTTGCAATCGAGCGGTGAAAACAAAGCAATCATTGCCAGGTAATAAATTAACTGAATGCACAGAAATTGCGCTATATTTAAAAATATTCAAAGTAATCGGTTTTCATACGTAAAATAAATTGTGTCATAAAAATGGTGTTTGTATTTGTTGTGTATATATAAATTATAATAATATAAACAAATACCAATGAAGTAAGCCTCAGCTTAGCAAGTTTCTCTAAATCTCAGTTTTAAATTTTATTCCACTGTATTAAGGTTAAGCAATGAAATATTAGTGGCACATCTGCAAGCAATTGAAAGTCAAAGAAGAGTGGAAAATCTGGAACAAGTTGTAAATACAGAAAAAGAAATGCGCATAGAAACTGAAAAGGCTTTAAAAGTACAACAAAGAGTATTGGATATATTGAATGTAAAATGTGACAACAAATTTAGGTATCATATTACAAATTTATATATTGTTAATTTTTATTAAATCGCATTAAAATCAAGGGAATTTTAATATTTTAGATATATGCATGAAATTTTACAAATTCTAAGAATCCAATATCAAGGCAGTATACCATTATTGTCAGCGGAACATTACGTTAATTGTTTAAGAGAGCTATCAAACAAAAGTAATGCTATTAATGAAAAAATAAGTGAAGTAGAGGACTTACGCTTTAGTCTTATGACTAAGCACAATGTCTATGACCAGGTATTGGATCTAACAAAGGCAAATTGTACAGAAAATCTAGAAAATTGTCCACACGAGCTACAGTTAATTGTATTGGTAATATCTAAAATATATATATTTTTATTATTGGTTCTTAAAATTTGTAAAAAACTTAAAATCTTTACAGGAAAGAACTCAAAAGAGAGAACTAGAACAATGCAATTTAAAGCTGCGTTCAATGGAAGAAACAAACAAAAAGTTATTAGACCGCTGTAATGATTTAGAAGAAACACTTGTACTGATAAACAAAGGGTATAATCCTTGTAAAACTGAGGAAAATATAGCAAAACATTCAACTAATAGTGGGATCTACAGAAGTACTTCTATTCAGGTAGAGGATGTTAATTCAGACGAAGAATCGACATCGAAAGGTAAGTAATGGCAATTTCAATTTTCAATTTTTTATTCTTCTCTCTAACGTTATATAGTTATGTTTTACAAAAATGCTTGAAAATTACAGATAGTGGAACTTTTACTCTTCCAAAACCTAAAACAAATCAGTTACAAACACAAATAAAATTAAATGCGATTCATGACACCAAAACTGTCGCAACATCCACAAATTTTTCAGAGCAAGATTTACTTTCGAATTCGGCAAAATATGTAGATGTCTTTATTCAAACAAATATAGCATATGCACAAAGAAATAACAAAATTGTTCAAACGGAAGAAGACAGTGTTTTAAAAGAATTACAGCAATGTGTAGAACGTTTCGACAGTCAACTAGCCGAATATTTATCCGCACTAGAACAACGAGCAAAATCAATCACATTACTTAGTGAAGATAATAAAGCTTTGTACACAAAAAATCAAAATCTAATAGATACAAATACTAAACTTATAAAAATTAATGAAGATCTTAAACAAAGTATTGACTCAGTAAGAAGAGAATTAGATCTATCTAAACAAACTCAATTGAAACAATTGAACAAAATAAAGAGCGAGGTCAATGAAGAAACTCAGTCGCTTTTGCTGAGTATTAAAAATACAGAGGATGAAAAGAACAAAATTATTCTAGAATACAAACGACTGTTGGAAAATGAAAGAGAAGAATGTCATAGTACAGTTAAAAGTTTGCAAGCAAAATTAGCAGATTTACAAAATGAAATAGATGGGTAAAAACTTTTATTATTCTCGAAAGATAAGCATAATTTAAATGTGAGCTATATTATATTTATAAAGAAGTCTGATTATGAAAGTATATCGAAGCTCTCCAATATTGTAATAATATGAAAAAAAAAACAGATCTTTAATACCGCTTCCTTTAATCTTTAGAACCATGTCCAAGTTACTTGAATATATACTGCATTCAAAAATGTATCGTCTAAAGTAATAAGTTACTATTTATGCCAACTACATGGTTGGTAGGATACCACTGATCGTTTTATACGGGAATTCCTCCCAAGCATAAACATGCTGTGGAAACAGTTAAGGTACCTTCAAAGAAAGATGATGTATTGCAGCTGGCCAAAGGCCCTGCATAAACAAGCCTCGGGGCCATGTCCCCATTGCTTGGGCATGTATCTCGACCAGCAATGGCTGGTCGGTGATGAGGATCCCTTTCCCTGACCGCGGTAGCGGCACTTGCAGGTGTACGGCGTTACACTCGGTGTGTAACGCGAGGACGACATCGTCTTCGACACAGCGGCGGAAGTGCGGTCGGCTCCGGCCCCCCAATGGCCTGTTCCGACCGCAGTAGCTCTCGTGGGAGCGGGCGCCCGTCAGGAGGGCGGGCGTAGAGAGGAGCGTGGGCTCGTCAGGACCCAGCATTTCATAACCCACCTCCTCGGCATGTTCGTATAGACTCCTGCCTGCGGGGGTCTCAATTCTCGATCCCCACGATGGATGTTTGGCGTCGAGATCCCCCGCTATAATGGCAGGAGTGTTATCAGAAAAGATATTCCGGATGTCACTGGCGTTGAAGGGCAAGCCGGGCGGGCGATACGCAGCGAACATACGTATCTCTTTCCCGCCCGCGTGGAGGCATACTCCTATGGAGCGCGTGCTTGTAAAGCTGCGCAGCTCCTCTTCGTCGTGTACCAGGTCCCGTCTTACCAACACGGCCGTACCTCTATAGGCATAGCCGTGGTCTGGGGAGATCTCATCCCTACGGTATACGACGAAGTTCGATACGCGGAACGGCTGACCCGGACGGAGCTTGGTTTCCCCGAGCAACACAACTTGGATGTTGTGCTGCTGAACCAGCATCCTTAGCTCCGGGAGCTGTTGCTGTATGCCTCCAGGGTTCCAGTACATGGCCCTAATTTGTGGCGCCATTGCGTACCGCGGTCAGGGATTTAATGGCGTTGGTCAGCGCCGTTAAGGTGTCGTTACCCGTCGCAATGGAGACAAGGATCCCCCAAGATGCCCGTCACCAGCCGGATTAGTTGATTAATTGCCTCCTCTATTCCCTGCGCAACGTACGCGGAGTCGCGGGAATGGGAGGCAATGACGTGGTGGGTGGGTGGACCCCTTACCCCTTGGCCTTGTTGGGCCGGTTGTTGGTGTGGGCGCGGTGCGATTATTGCCGCTGTGGCAACATTTTCCCGCTGTTTTTGCTGCTGTCTCTTTTTTGGTGCAGCGGTGGTGGTGGTTTGGGACCGGGGGGGGGGGGGGGGGGCTGCGGGGTCACCACAGCTTGGCCCGCTGTATGCGGTTGGGAGGTGCTCTTTTTCTTCCTCTTCCCCCTCTTCTTCTTCTTTTTAGCCACCTCACCACGTATTGTGGCATCGTTGGCCGGTGGCATGAGGGTGGCATGAGCGCCTGCTGCTGACTGTGTCGTGCTCACAGTTGCAGGGGTTGTCGCCGCGGTCCCCTGAGTTTGAGGGGGAAGAGGCATTGTGCTCCTTTCGGGAGGGTGTTGCACTTGTCTGGGTGGTGGTGGTGGTGGTAGTGGCGGTGACAATTTGATGCCACGGCTCTTGGCCACACGTTGGAACACCGCACAACGCTTGTCATTGGCCGCGTGCGCTTTTGCGCGGTTGGTACACTTCGGCGCTTCGCCCTTCCGTGGGCATTCAGCCGAAATGTGTTCGCCAGCGCAGCGCACGCAGCGCAGGGGTCGGTGGCAGTTGGCAGACGTGTGACCGAACCCCTGACAGCGGTGGCATTGTGCGGGACCACCCTTTCCATGCCAGGCCTCTATAGTAATGCCTGGCATATTTAGCACCTCTGTGACGTCATAGAGGCGCTTTAATTCATTTTTATCGAGGTGGTCGAGTTTGAGATGATAAAGTGTTCCCGGCCTCGACCTCTTGGGCGGAATCGCTCTTGAGTAAGTAGCCGGGAACCCAATTCCCTTGAAATACTCGACCACCTCATCTGGCGAAGTGTCCCTGGGGAGCCCTCTAATCCCTACTTTTGTGGGTACTTCCTCCGGTGGAGCGTAGCAAAACCACACAATGGTGGGGTCTTTTTGGCTACACTCGACAAGGTAGCGCTGAATTACCCGGTATTCTGCGGCGTTTTCTGGGGATAAAGCGTACTCCCTTGCCGAGCGGCCTGGCGTTGGGTGCATGTCCTAACTGTCCTTTGAGGACAGAGAAGTGTTTCGTCCATTGTGGTAAACATTCCACCACAATGGGCGGGTATTTACGCCCCTTCTCCTCGGCAGGTTGAGGTGGCGCTTGGTTGGTCCCCTGTGTAGTTGGGGACCGTCGGCGTGGAGATGGTGGAGCCGAAGCCGCGTTGGCGTACGTCGGTGGTGCTGATGTAGCATTTGAGGGGCCGGGTTGGGGCTCCTCAGAGTCCATCTCGACCTCGTTTAATGCGGTTTGTTGACCATCATTTGATGGTCCAGGCGTCGGTTCTATCACGTCGTTGGTGTGAGTAGGGACATCCTGCCTCTTATCCCTGTTTAAGGCTGAGTCGTCTAATTTGGGACGCTTATCGTCCTGGGTTGGCGACTCAGGGGATGTGGGTGGACGGGGTGTTTTCGTCCTTTGTGGTAGTGGCGGTGCTGCCAACAGTTCCCCACTTACGGAAGCGACTTGGGCGGGCTCTGCGGCCTTGGAGGGCACGCTACCCTTTGATTGGGGTGGTTGGATCTGCGAAGGCAGAATCCTAGTTATTTCATTAGTGAAAATATTCCTTTCGACAAGGATTTTCACTTGTGGTTTGGCTCGCCTAGCTTTGGCGGTGGTAGCGGCTTTTTTGCCGCGACCCATTGTGGTGTGTTTATGCAGTGTGCATCTATAACAGGTGTTTTAGAGCACACCGAAGATTTGCTTATACGCACTCTTTCTGCGCGTGTCTATTGGGCTGCTCCCGCACCGCACCGCAGGCCGGCTGTATCAGATATAACCACAATAGACAGCGGGTGGAGTGATTCGAGCTGTTTTTAGGCTACTGAGGTAGCCCTACCTCACCACTGGACCCTTTTTTGATAAAAAGGGCGACCAAGTAGCGAGCAGCTGCGCGGTTGATCTTGGTTGAGCGCTGAAACGACAGAAAGCCAAGAACGAACAGCGAAGAGGAACGAAGTGTCCTAGGCGACTCGACGCGGAACGGAGCAATGCTCGACGCTCGGCGGAGTTAGCTTCGGAAGGCTTAGGCTGTGCACAACCCTACTGCAGATGCAATGAAGGCGTACAACAACGTTTACCACTCACTTGATCCTCCCACTCACTTGATCCTCCCAAAGAAAGAGCCCATATGCCACACCCGAGGATTACAGATGCGTTGACAACCCTGAAAAATTGGGCTCCGGCTACCTCCTTAACGTAATAGTGATAATTTACCATTGTGAGCCCTACCACCGTTCACTTGCTACTGTTCTCCCTTTTCTCTTTAAAAACCACTCCAACCACTTTCTGAGCATCGGTGTTATATTGTGCTTAGATAAAATATCATGTAAACTTCCCGATCCACTCTGCAGCATGACGACTGTTGAAACTCTTCATACTTAATTTATATAATTTCCTCTTCACTTAATATCTTTCAATGTTAATCATTTTCGTCCATAAAAACCTTTTAATTACTACAATGAGCTGCATCATCTCACAAAAAAAATTCTTCATATTTTTAATTAAACTTTAGCAAAAACAGCTCTTGTTTGCAACAGTTTCAAAAAAAAAAAAATAACATAGCAAGGTATTTAATAGATGCGAAAAGTATTTTTAAAATGACTGCACATGTTTATTACGAATTTTCGGAGGAGTAGGTAATTTCCATCAATCACACGATATAGACGTGGTACTATAGATAAAACGTTCTTATCTTGTGTTAGACATTATAACAACGTTAGGTTTCAATTAAAATTTATTACAGAAAATCCAGAGCGATCAACAGCTCTAATACAGAAATTATCAAAGAGAGTATCTCTAAGTATACTTTAAAAAATGCAGAATTAGAAGACAAGTGTTTCAAATTGCAGAACAGTTTGGATGATTACAAATCAGAAGCGTTAGTTGACATACATTATATTAATATATTTGAATATTATTGACTTAATACGGTTATAAAATTATTTAACCTTAAAGTTTCACTTCTCAGTATCAATTGTCAACGTGAATTACAACGCTGGAAAGATCTTGCTTTAGAAAGACTGGAAAAAATGGAGCAAATGAGTGTGCAATTAAAGGAACGGCATAACAACGAAGTGCGTGAGAAATAAAAGTTTATATTTTCCTTCTAGTGCTTAACGGATTGCATGGAATTTATACACAAATCTTGCAAAATCATATTCAAGTTTAAATGAAGAATTGCATTTTGTTTATTTAAGTGAAAAAGTCTGAAGCAATTTGAAAACCTATTTAATACACCTCAACAATACAAAAATTAAGGAATCTTTAGAATATGCATTTCAGTAGTGTCATTTTTTTATTTCTCCCTTAAAATAATTAAAAAAGAATTTTGAATAATTTCAATTCTATTAACCGTATTTGTTATTGCCTTTTCGGCCATTATTGGTTCTATGGTCCTAAACACCTTTAATTGTTAATTTTAGGTGGAATCCTACAAAGCAGAAAATCAACATTGGCTTTTACAGCTGAACGAAACTCAGCGTGAACACATGGAATTGCGTTCGCGATTAACGGAGCAGAAAGCTTTACACGTTAAACAGCTGTCGGACAAAGATAATCAAATAGAACAGCTCCGATCTGTTATACACAGTCTTAAAGTGAGTAAATAATATTTGTTTTTTTTTTTAAATGATTTTAGACCGATAGTTATATCAAAAATTCAGTTATGGGGCAGGACCTATGTTCAGCATCCACTGCTCAAACAGGCAAAAATCATGATGACGGTGATGATAGTTTAGTAAAGTATCAGCATACACATGTCCTATTGGTATGCAAGGGCTTCCTCTGTACATAGGGTATTGGACATATTCCAGAAAGCAACCCCTTTGCGAATTGAGTGACTTCACATATCTTCGAAATATTTTTTACTATTTTAAAAATATGTAGATTTCCTAACCATGTTTTCCTTCGGCACTGAACACGTGATAAGTCAGCACTTAACATTAGCAATTTAATTAGTGCTGGCACACCGGGATTTAAACTTAGGTCGCATGAATATAATGAATTAAAAACGAGTGCCCAGCTACTGAACTATCAGAGCTCTGTTTAGGCTGGCCAATAACATAGAATAATATATTGAATTACAAGATATGTGGAAATGACTCCTCCTCAGTAACATTCAGAATTCCTTACTAGTTTAATTAATGCACCAATGGTAGTTAACAGGACTAAACGTATTACAGTAAATTTGTCTTTAAATTACAGACGCAAATAATGAACATGCAAACGATGCTGTCCGTGAACGATCCCAGCTTTGATCTTTCTGCTATCGTTGAAGTGGAAGAAGCAAGTGACGTCTCACAACAAGGCTCTGATAAGCTAGAGTTGAAGTTTGATTCTACCGTCGATTTGCATGAAATTCACGATGACTTTGCGAGAATGGCTACCTCTACTACAATTTGGCAAGTTATACACATTGCTTCTCCTAAAATATATATAACCTCGAATAATTCTTGTTTTAATTATAAAGTACGTAGATAAATGTGCGAAAAATTTTTTGACGCTGCCAGAATTCGAACCAGCACTTTTTGGGTAACAGATGCTCTAGCCACTAACGATTAATGTTTCGACAATGTATGTTACATTTTAGGCTTCATCTTAAGTGAATAAATTGCATGCCTATATAGCATCTGCATGTAGATTCTCATCACTTTCCGTTTATAATACGTTTATAATACGTATTAGTTTTTGCTAACGGCTTTCCTGTGCTGCTTTCAATCACTAAAATAGTACAGGACGATTTCTGTTGTAACATTTTTAATACTGCTATTTTCCTTCACATTCCAGGCAAGAACCCGTGCTAGAACGTCTACGCCGAGAAAAACAATTACTCAGCAAGCAAAATGGAATATTACGTAGACAAATAAAGGCAGTAGCAGCCAGGGAACGAAGGGCGCGGCTTGACGCTCAGAATCTTAAGAACCAAGTGTTTAGAATGTAGGTACTTCCCATATAATTATGTAGTACCCGGATGACCGAGCTTTGCTCGGTTTTTTTTTGGTAAATCGTGTATTTTGGAAATTACATTAGATACAAATTACTGAGTAATGAAATATGCGTAATATTTTTCGATCTTACCGACGTAATAGTAAGAAAATATGAACTGATGTTTATCACAAAAGAAAGAACTTAAAACAAACTTAGGAAAAAAATAACAAAACAACAAATCGACAAAAAATAAAAGATAAAGAAAGCAATGATCTGGAATCGAAAAAAAAAGTAAAAAAAAATGTGTAAATGATCGTGATACGAACCACGGCCTACTGTTTCGTGGCTGTTTGTTAGCGGCCGCCCGATTACCGACCGAGCTATTATAACATTTTTTTTTTTTCGGTGAAATTTACCGTCGTATTCGAATAATATTTTTCATTCCCTGAAAAGTGGGATAAAACGACATTTTCTAAAAATGAAACCTAGTCAGATCGATTTTTCGCCCCCGAATCTACGCACATACTAAATTTCATGAAAATCGCTGGAGCCGTTTCCGAGATTCTTAATATATATATATATATATATATATATACAAGAATTGCTCGTTTAAAGGAAAAGAATATGTATACTTTTTTAAAATAGATATTATGCCGGTCATATATTATGAAAAAATATCAGCCAGTTTATTCATATTCTCGAAAACTTTCAGAAGCACATCAGGAAGCAAGACAGCGAGTGTCGAGTCAGCAGCGCTCCACAATAACAATCGCATCACTACAAGCACAGCTGACAAGTGCAAGGCGAGACACACACTCTTCTGTGGCCCTGTGGGACAAATGGAAGAGGTATCAAGTTTATTTTGACTCTAAGGCATATCATGTTTTGTTTATCGTACTAATTTCAATTCTGCAATTAATATCTTAAACAACGACAATACTATTTGACGTCCATGTTTCCTTATGTTGACGCGAACACTATACATACGTAATTAAATACCGTCTATCATCACGTCCCGCCAGCATGAATTCTGGCACCTAAATTAACGAAAATGCTAGTGAAGTTATTCTGCTGTCATTGTAATTAGGGTGCAATGGGGTAATTCCGACATAAATTTGTATGACATCACTAAGGGTCCAGTTTTGGATTAATTATTGAAAGTAGTTTTATATCTAAGACCATTATTGTTTTACATCTGTTTGCGTTAAGAAAATAACTGTGATAAATATTTATTCAATTCTTAAAATGCAATTGGGGTTTTGGATTAGAGCATTTGAAATATTAAGCTAATATTCTTTTCGTAAAAGGGATAATTACGAATGATCATGGGGTAATTCTGAAGTATTTCAAAAGTTGTATTTATTGAACTCTGGCCTAAAGTTCATATTACTTTTTCAGTCCTAATTATGTATTACACAAAATTTACGCAATATTGTCCATAGATACATTAATCTAATTTATTACAGCTTTGTTATTTCGTAATTACCCCTGAAAGTGTATGTGGTTCTCAAACTTTAAGTTACAATTGTAGGAAACTTTTTGTTAAGCAGTTTTGTCCACTTATTTTGTACTAAATTATACAAATTATTGGAAAAATCAACATAAATAAGGACGAGGAAGATCAAAGAATGTAATATATATTTATTTAATTTATAATCTTTTCTTCAAGATACTTTCCAGCAAATCGAAATATTCTGCAATGACGAATAGATCTGTCATTTTTCTTCTTACAAATTCTACCGGCTGTGCTTTTTTAAAAGACCATAAATTGTCTTTCCGGAAATTAATTAATCAGGGATATTATTCTTAAATTGTGTCGGAATATTGTTTACCTGCACATATTCAGCGACATCTTCCATAGTTTAATTGTTCTGCTAATTTATTTTCTTCTATAGGTATGACGGTAGGTCTTCTTGCATTAAACCTGACTGTAGCTTTATTTATCTTAACGTATTCATGAAGGGGATTTTATATACTTGTGCTGCTTGATTTTATATACTTGTGTGTGCGCAATATAATATATTGCGTTAATTGTCCCTTTATAACTTTTTCGATCGCTTGGGCCAAATCTTGTGAAGTGTATTTTTTAATTTTATTTCTTATGTAATTTCGGGACATGATAGATATGTAAAACAAATTTGTTAATATTGAAAATACATAAAAATAAGTTTGAGAACCACTGCTAATTACTATGTGAAAGCTAAATGGGCTTATAAGGAAAATATAATATATCGGAATAAACCCGGAAGGGTATTTCCGAAAAAAAAAAATAATAACAATTAGAATGTTATGTTCCTCGTACATAAACGAAAAATACGATAATCTATGGTTAAAAGGAAAACTTGTTCACGTAACTTACCAAAATAGCGAAATAGTCACTAGCGAATTGCTACTACTGAGACGGCGTGGTTATCAAATATGCTGTCTAGCCTAACTATGCTGCACTCCTTTTATATATAAACTTTAAGTGAGAGAGAAGTCATACTTCACCGCTGAGATCATTTTTATGGTGCTGGCATCAAAGGATCTTTAATTTAGCACGTACCTTATTTAAACAAAGTTGGTTTTAGTAAAATATCAACCCTTATACTTATGGTGTCTCTTACTCCCTTATATACGTTTACTTTTATAATTTAATTGTAATTATAATATCATCGAAAATATACATTTTATCCGCTTATAACGCAATATTGTTATAACCTTAACGCGATGTACTAAATGGACGAGGTGTTATATTTAGTTGATACGTGGTAACGTATATGTTTCTATTTATTTAAGGGCGCAACAGGCTTCAGAACGGTGGCAAGCCCGATATGAGGAGAAGTGCCAAGAGGTTAATAAACTGGATGCCAGTTTACACCTAGCAAAATCTGCTGTGACCAGGTTGGAGAAAGAAAAACGTTTGTTACTTTCAAGGCTAGCCGATGCTAAAAGTAAGCTTCGTACCTCATTTCATTTACAATGTATTTAAATTTCCTAAGATTGGTTCCAATTATTAATCTTCAGTTCGCAACCATGTACGTTTTTTGTTTATTAAGACGTTCCTTGTTTATTAAGACGTTCCTTTTATGGTATCGTAGGGGATTTACATATGGGTAGGTACGCAAATTAAATTAATTTTGATGCTTCAGTTTTGTAAAAATTATCAAGCTTACTATTACATAAGTACCTATGACATACATACCTATTGCATAAGTAGCGTACATATGAAAAAAGTACTCTAGAAAAATATAATTTGAAAAAACATTTCCGTCTTTTATAATTTTTATGTGGAAGTTGCCACGCAGCTCCTACTGATGTTGCATGAATTATTAATTTTAGTGTAAAATATTAGTATTATACTTTTGCATTTCGAAGTACAATACGAATACTTAGGTGAGTGACAATGTCCAAGCAAACTCTTTCGACGTCTGGCAACATGTGGCAAGGAAAATGTCCATTTGGTTTTTTTGCCTACTTTTCACATTAAAAAAAATCGCTAATCTATTAACATGAGAATGTTGTAATAGTACAATTATGTGTTCTCTTAACTTTATTCTAAAAGTTCTAATGAAAAGTCAAATTCCAAAAGATTTAAAAGAAATAAAATGCAAGCATAAATATTAAAAAAAAGACGTAAGTTAATGTTTGTCAATCATAACTAATTTGCGGATTTTTTCCGGTTTAATTCTGGGTTATATGTCGAACACTACAGCGTTCATGATCACGCTAAAGGCTAAGATTAAGAGCTTCCTCTTTTAAAACAAAAGTCACTGATTCGTGGGTTCATTTATTATCATTTTTGTAATTTCCAGATGAAAGACAACTGGTGTTGGAGAAACAAGACGGGGAAATGTCTGAGAAGCGCTCAATATCTCATAGCGATGCAAGCGACATGCATACAGTACCGGTATCAACGCGGGCCTTGCTTGAGCGTATAGAGGCTCAACAGAGACGCATCGCCGCCCTTGAGTTCGCTGAAAATGTAAATCTTTATCGTTATTCCTAACTAATAAATGACGTTACTTTGGTTCGAGTGCTACCGAGGTTGCTGATATGCATTCTGTTAATGTTCTCATTCCATATCCATGCATTAAATATTTTTAAAATGCTTTTTCAATTTCTGATTACATACACATTACAACAGAATTTTCGGGACTGAATGTTTTAAATAGATTACATGAATGTAAAATCGGCTTGTATGAAATAGATAATCTCTGAAATCAATGAAAAGATTCTAAAATATGGCATTATAGATGGAAATGTTCCGAAATGTGTTCTAAATACAATAAGAAATTAATAAAAAAAATACAGTAGCCCAGGTTAATTGTATCACACAAGACGAAAAACAACTTAACCTCTCTCGTGATCATGACCATTGTAAGGTTTTGGAAACATCGACAAAACCATTGTGCTCACATTAATTTCAACTTTCTGAAAAACTCCCAAAAAGGAGTATGAAATATTTAAATTAAAGCCAGTTTGTACATTGCAACTATTAAACCTAATAAATAAAAAATATGACGAATATTCAGTGAATCTTTTGTGAGCTGTTTTGTGTGACTGATGGTACGTTAAACTATCTACTAGGTATCAAGCAGTGATATCTTTGAAATGATGACTGAAAAAATGCACGTTCGTTCGCATGGGCCTTGCCCCGACAAACTTCCACCTATTATATTTCCTGCAAGGCTTTTTGGATGGAAATCCCTCAAATCTAATGGGCGAGTCAATCAGGCTGTCAAAAACTTCTTCCAGGGCAAACCAACCGTATGAAAGGGTAGAGATTGATAACCCAGGAAAATGAGATAAATAATAATGGCGAATAACATATTTTAAAGTAATATAATTTCGATATGGAATGAAAGCATAATAAATGTATGAATAAAAATAACGAAAATTACTTATCTACTCAAGTATATTAATATATAACGATTAATGTTACAGGGAAACGAGCCGCTAGTTTCAGAGTACGAAAGAGCCCTGGCGGAGATCACGTCGCTCAAAGGTCAAGTGCTGAAATTAGAGTCGGCTTTATTAGAAACGCAAATTCGGTCACCCCTCAAGAATACGCATGAAAACCAGCCTGAACTCGAATATTGGAAGAGGTATTTAAGTTTTCTTTTAATAGCAATACATTCTCTTTAGAACATAGGTAAACATAGGTAAACACTTTATCTCTGTTTCTCTAATGGATCCTACAAACCTTGCTCATACTATAGCTTATATAGCTTCCACTCCACTTCCACACTCTCAGGATTTTCATTTTTCTCCAGTCACGGAAGATGAGACTAAGAAAGCTATTCTGGCAATCAAATCCCGAGCTGTGGGTTGTGATGATGTGAGTAGAATTATGATAGTAAACTTGTTAGATTTAATTGTTCCTGTTGTAACTCACATTATAAACTTTTTTCTTGAATCAGGTCAGTATCCATTGATTTGGAAAAAAGCATTTGTACGACCACTTCCTAAAGTCCCTAATCCTGTACTTCCCAATCACTTTCGCCCCATCTCAATTTTACCTTTCCTTTCTAAAGTTTTGGAAGCCTGTGTTTATAAGCAAATCTCTTGTTTCATACATAAAAATAACCTACTGAGTGATTATCAGTCTGGGTTTCGTCCTGGACATAGCACCACAACTGCCTTACTTAAAATCACCGACGATATTAGATTAGGTATGGATGATAAGAAAGTGACAGTGATGGTGCTAGTCGATTTTTCTAACGCTTTTAACACAGTTGATCACGATATCCTCCTCGCTGTACTTGCTCAACTAAGGTTCGCTCCCACAGTTTTGGATTGGTTCTCATCTTATCTTCGCGGGCGTCAGCAGTCGACTATTGTGGGACAAAAGTCCTCACTATGGGCTAATATTGACTCTGGCGTACCGAAAGGCGGTATTCTTTCTCCCATAATGTTCTCAGTTTTTATAAACTCAATCACATCATGTCTTGATTGTGCGTACCATCTGTATGCGGATGACTTGCAGATTTATCTTCAGGCTGATATTGGTGACCTCCCTAACGCATTCTCTAGATTAAATTCAAACTTGAGCGTCATCCATAACTGGTCGATGCGTTATGGAATATTTGTTAACCCAAATAAATGCCAAGCAATGCTTGTCGGAAGCAGTAGATTGTTGGCTAAAATTGACATCGCAAATCTGCCTGTTGTCTACTACAACAATAAACGTATTCCGTTATCCAACTCAATTAAAAACCTTGGCCTCTTTATGGACAGTACAATGAATTGGGGAGTACAAGTTAGCCGTCAGTCTGAAGTTAGCCGTCTGAGAATTTTCTCTCTTTTGTAAGCTCTTACTTGTGCAAACCCAATTTATCGTCTGAAGTTTTTACCCGGACTTCTCCCTTTTAAGATTAAGCATTAGATACATTTTTGACCTTCGAGAATATGACCATATTACTCCCTATCGTTCTCGCCTCAAGTGGCTAACAATTAAACAAAGGCGTAGCTCTAGAATTCTCCTTACTCTTTTCTCGATCTTAAACGATCCTGCTACTCCGTATTATCTTAAAGATACATTTAAATACATCTCGCTGAACAATGAAAGAGATCTCCGTTCCTCAGCTAATCTAAAGATTACTATCCCTTCACATAATACCAGTTTCTTCAGTAATTTTTTCACTGTTCAGGCTACACTCCTCTGGAACTCCTTGCCTGATGACATACGTAAAGCCCCTAATAGGACATCATTCAAACGTTTGGTCCGTAATTTATTTCTAAATGACCCTTTATAACCTATAATGTTGATGTTATCCTTGTGCCACTATCGTTTGTATGATTATATATATGTATGTGTGTAGATGTGTATGTATATATATATATATATATATATATATATTTTATGTATGTATGTTTAAGTAATTATATAGTAATACATATAAATATTTAATATATAATTATTATTATAAATATTCATTAATGTAATAAGTGCACCTACCACGATTTCTCACCACGCCCCGGGTTGACTGGGAGAGAATGCCAAAAGGCATTAAGTTCGCCCTTTGTAATCCTTTTTATTTAAAGGTTGCAAAAAAGTATAAATAAATAAAAAAAAAGTAAACCATGTCAGCGCAAACGCAAATACGCCGAGGACACTCTACACTCGTACGCTGTAATCTTAATTCGTATGCGTCGTGGACACAGAAAGAGCATTGAACTACGAGCACGTGACCGGTAAAAATTTCAACCTCTGTTACCAGTATAAAAACTACAAAAGCACGATCGGAAACACTTGGCTATTCATTTTTCGCCAGCCTATTAGCCTGAAATCTCTCTGAAGTATAATTCATTCGTCAACCTTCAGATATTAAGGAAGATGGCCATTTGTGCTGCTCAAATAGGCTGGTTCTACCCAGAAATTATTTAGGTTTTATGAGTGGGGTAAGAAGGCCCTCTCCGAAGAAAGCTAGCAACGACCTTGTACTGCAGCTGCAGGACTGCAGGTGTAGAAAACGTGCATAAGCGGTGGTAACCACTACGCATCAGGTAAACCGCTTGCACGGTTTTCCTTTTTAATTAAAAACGTTTAAATCGTCCCAACTGATTGTGAATTGCAAAGAACTAGAAAAGCACTATGCAGGTTATACCATATTTACTGTTCTCCTTCAATCAACTTGTACTACAATGAAACCCACATTATACTTACAAATTGAGCAGTTACTGCGATATGCTGAAAGAAGAGAACACTCAGCTTACAATGCGCGTGACCTCCCTAGAGTGTGCGCCGACGACCGCGCACCAGCACAGGGTCAACGACCTCGAGCAGACCGTACTGACGCTAAGAGGTACAACAACAATGAAAGTTTTTTTTATAAAGAGATTTCTAATAGGTACATAGATGTTTGTGCAAAAAAATTGACACAAAAATAAAAATTTCAGAATTATATAAAATATATGTGAATATTAGAAATACACAAAACACTAAAGTCAGTTAACAGCTTAATTAATTTTTTTATAAATTAATGAATATTCATGATGAGTAGATCATCATCGTAACTAGTTTGAGTGATTTATTTTAATAAAGAAAAGAGAAAAGCAAACTAGATTACATAAAATTTTAACTCAAATCGAAATGACGAGTATTAGACGAGTATTACCCACATACTTAACGCAAAATGTCTAATGACGCATTAGACATTTTGCGTTAAGTATGTGGGTAATAGCCTAATAGCCCCCGTGGCACTAATATAATGTATTTATGTGTATATAAAGTCCTTTTGTTTGTTTGTCTTTTTTTTTTTAATCAATATTATTGCTAATAATTTTTACTTGCATTACTTTCTTTCTGTTGGTCAATATTTGCCAGAAATTCTAACAGTGTTGCACAATTTATTTTTTATTTTTATTTAATTTTTATTATTTAATTTTAGTTTATTTTATTCTGGTAATATTTTCACAAGTTTGCGCATCTACCCGCACATTCCTCACATTCCTAGCATCGAAATGGCTCCACAGAATACCAGCATTGCGGAACTCTCCGTATTTTTTGCTGAGTGGAGACCATTTTTGACATAAACTCACAGCACAATTCATTCCTTATTACATATACACTATGCATTTTTTTTTCCTTCAAAGGTTTCTATATGTCTTTTTGTTTCTTTATTAATAATTTTTATGTTTGTAACTTTGCGTACTTATTTCGTTTTCCTTTTTTTAACTTGCTTTTTTTGTTGAAACGATGTTTTGTTTTTATTTATCAATATGTTATGTTCATGTCATTTATTTTTTGAATTTTTTGTGCTGTTTGTTGGTTGTCAAAATAAAGTTTATGTCTATGTCTAAATGTTTCGTAAACTTAAACTTTATGCATACTTTTCTAGGACTGGTTAGCAAATTGCAAGCTGAACAGAAGTCATCGGCGACGAGTTCGCAAAAACGAGCCGATTCAAGGCCAAGTAGCGGACGCACTGTTCCAGAAAAGGTATGAACGGTTTAAAATAACAGAATAATTTAAAATGACGTTAACGGTCCAAAATAACATTATTCTGTTCATATCGTTTAAATTAACGTTTTTGGCTCGCATTTCTCGCCTTCTATTCTAAGCATTGTTGTACAAACTTATATTAATTATTAGACCATGAGCAATTGTTTTTGTTAATTTAAGACACGAAGTCAGTTGGAGTCATGCAAAACCGAAATATCAAACTTGAAACGAAGTATACAGGAGAAAGACACACTTCTTGAAAAATCTAAAGATATGCTGAGAATTGCAGCGGAGCGTGAAGATGAATTATTGAATGAGGTAAATAAAGTAACGGTATTTTTTTTTTCTAATCATCTAATTTATTTAATTATAACCTTAACATTTTTTTAGAAATAAGGCGCCAAATATCACTAAAAATGCAATAAAGGACTTAGATAGACGTAGATTGGTAAAGCGTATGTGCACGATACCCAGAAGAGGCTGGTTCGATGTTCATTTGCCTACAAAAATTCACATTTTAAATATTATACCTTGTTCCAGAACGCATTCTTAAGGCGACAGTTGGAAGAGTTGACAAATCACAAAAGGGGTTCTCTATCAGCTTAGTTTCTTTTACCTAAAGCAAAAATGTCGCCTGTGATTGATATAGGCCTATAGCTTTGAACGTGATCAAATCCCTTTTAATTAATTGGTTAAATAGTCATTTTAAGGAGATAAAATGATTAGAATCAAGAAGCAAAATACTTCTAAGAACCGGTATTCTGTAATCGTTTGTCTTCTATCTACAAAACATCTCCTTTTTCCTTTACTTCACCTGTGTTTTTGCACTATCACATACACAGTATTTTTATTAAATATATAAATAAGCCATTGTACTTTCCTACTTTTATAATCGACACGAAAAAAGCATTTTCATTTTCGATATTCGTACGATCAAATGTACGTTTAAAACAGCATAAGCATGTCTACAATATAATTAAGCGTATGATTTTTTTTTTATTAATAAATAAATAACATTTTGGATTTTATTATTATCATTATTCTCCTATGCAATGGTTTTAATCATTATGTTGATACACTTATTTATACTTTGGAAAAATTCCCCAAAATATCTCGAAGTAACTTCATGAGAGGCTTAACAGGGCGGGCGCCCAAAACAGATTTAGAGTGTTCACCGGAACCCAGCCCCACATTTTGTGAGCCACCGTGGTCTTCGAAAGTTACCCAATAGAAACACCAATTTTGATTCACAGAATTATGATTCTATCATCAGATGCATTCATGCATGCAGTCATAACTATAATCAAAATTCAGTTTCACAGTCCTGCTTCATATATCTCGTACTAACTCACCTCATAGACTAGATATAAAATCCCAAATGCTATCGGAGAAATATCCGTATTTTCTTGCAAAAGTTATACTTGATTACAATTTTTTTACTTTCATTGACTTTAACCCTCGGCAGCCTATTATGGATGCGAAAAAATAAAAAGAACAAAATTAGTAATATTACTTGTTTGACATCATGATCCAAGCGATGAACAGCGATTGTAAGAATAAATACCTCGTAAACTTTTAGGAATAACATTTAAATGTGTATTAAGATACCACAATTTTTTTCGCTCCCTGATCCTTGAGAAGCTGTAAGGAAGTAAACATTACAATACATTAAATACTAGTCATATTCAAGGATCTGCAATGAGAGACGAGACGTTTTTAAAATACTAGTAAATCAATAAATTGTGTTCTTAAGATGTAACCTTAAGAATATATATCCTTTATAGATGAGACATTTCCAGAAAAACTGTACATAAATCTTTGAATAACATAATTATAAAATGCAAATATGAGAGAATATAATATTAAAGAAGTGTTTGCCACCAGTGGCCATTGAATAAAAATGAATAAGCTGCCACTGCTGGTAAATTAAGATAGATAAGGTAATAAAGATAAGGTAGAACAAGAAATAATGGTATTCTCTGGATCCTTATAGTGGATTAGGTAAGGTTCAGAGTGAGAGATTTATGGTTCCTATCCCTAGTGTGTATAAACATTGAAGCATTATTGTCGCTCCAAAATGACATAACAAAAAACTATACAGTGACGGCGCGGGGCTTATAAACCGTTAAACCATTTATAGCTAAACTAAAAAATAAGATCATTTTTGTTTGACAGCGCGTGATAACTGACAGTGAGAGTTGTGGTGCTATTTATTAACAATCACTTGTATGAACATGCCTTCCATGTTTTAGCATTCACGGTATTAAATGTTTTCTTATAAGACTATCTTTAAAACGAGGATTGAGTTAGGAGTCATTAAATATATTTATTATTTAACCTTTAACCCAATTTTCAATTCCTTCGTTTTTAGAAGTGAAACGAAATATACCTAATAAGTGAAAATAAAAGTTATAAAGCCATGATAAAACAATCCAAAGAATAATTTAAAAAAAAAATCAAAAGCATTATTCAAAATTCTCGGAAGGATAGTAACCCGCTGGGTTGCTTTTATTCTTATTTTCTAAAAGGGATAACAAATCATCATGATTTTTTAATCATAACTTCCTTTTAGAAATAACCAAACGTTAAACAAAATAAAAACTTAAAGGATCCGAACTGCGAACCGGCTACCAAATAAAAGACTTTGGTGCCAACATTTAGGCAAAATTCTGTCCAGTTTATATTTAAATGGCGTTTACAAGGAAAAATGAATGGCGATTTAAAATATGAAACAGATAATAACAATACTGAGGTAAGGGCATTTTTTCATGTTGCAAACCGTATTTTAGGCAACCTGACGTGTAAGCTACAAAGATTACAACCAACAATAAGAATGGAAAAAACTATCCTAACTATCCGAGCTCATTAGAGAACACTCAGTAATGCCATTATCAGTTAACACCATATGTACAAGTTATACGAAAAACAAATTTCGCGTTTAATTTATATTTTAATATTCCTTTAAAGTAAAATGAATTTGAATTTAAGTATTCATTAACAATACCAAACACGAACCATTTGGTTCTATTATTTATGCGAATAATTCGCATGGTTAAATATTTATCGCTTTTTAATTAATTTATGACAGTACGCTCACTGTGTTTCCGTGCTCTGTAAAGTGCTCGATAATTCGGGAATTTTTAGGAACAAATAAAATGCAATAATACCGTAAAATAGTTTAATTTTTATTTCCAACGTTACTTACCTATACTTTTCAGCATTGCAGGACCGCGAAAAATCTGTGAAATGTGTAAAAATATGAAACTAATTTGAGTAATGTGTGGTTTTCTTCTCCTCTGGGAAGGAGTGGTTGGTTGAAATTTGCCCTAAATTTCTGTTTTGACTGTCTGATAAGTTAGCAGATGTTGTTTGTACGATTGGATCTAAAGTCGTCAGATATTAATTGTAACTATACAACATTTTCTCGGGGTTCACATCTATTTACTATTTGCAAAACGAATCGCTGAAGCAACGTCTCTGTAGGTGGATACGGCCTGCAAATGTGTCCTTACTCAAGAGTGCAAGAAGAGAGAGAGTTCTACGAGTGTGAAGAGCACGTGCGACAGACATGATCCTCGAGAAACGCCCGCGTTAAGGGGCCGGTTAGCGGAAAACGTGCACTTAAGTCAATAGCGTAAGAGCAGTTCGAAAAGATGTCCTTCAACCTGTTAAGAATTCGTCAACCGTGTAGATTCCCCAATGACTTGAGGAGAAAAATCGGGCGATAGATTTTTGGAAGGTTGCTGGGTTTATTCGGCTTTTGCTTTTTCTTTGGGAGGCTTTTAAGTCTCTGTAAAGTAAGTAATTTAATAACATATTGTAGCCTTCATTTTGTAGCCCCTCAATCATAAGATTCAAAATATAACATAGAGATATTAAAACAGAAACTGTTATATGTTATGTTAAAACAGAAAATTAAACAATTGAATATTTCATACAGATGTAATATTCCTTAAAGTTTATAATCTTATAAATAAATAATTTACATTGTCTATTTTTATGTATGTCGATATGTTATACATATTCAACAGATAGATTATTTTGGTGTATATTGGCTAAAAAGTCTCTTAGGCCAGAATGTTTACAATTATCACAGTCTACGATTATAATATATAATATGTATGTCTAGACAACAACTTGAGTTTGTATATAATATAATTTCAAAATTAAAATAGTATAAGACTATAAGCCATTTAATTATAGCATTTGGTTATACCTAAATACATCGATTAACAAACCCTGGACAATACTGACAGCTTTAAAACTTCATTTTACTTACATGAAGCAAAACAAGTAAAAACTAAAAGTATTACAATAATTTCTAAACATTTAATATAAAATAAATGACATTCACTCGTGATATTAAACAATAATCATGAAAAACCGTAATAAACTCAATGTAACCTTCGATTACCTATAACGAGAAACATTCAACGAATGTTAAATTGCGAACCTGGCCTAAAACGAGTATAAAGTTTTTATTCCTTCGAGAAAATATTGAGGTAAATCTTGAAGCTCCTTCCGTTTCAGCAGCTCACACTGAAAACATGTATAGAAATTAAAGAAACATCGGCTTACAAAAAAAAAAATGTAATTGTTGAATTAATGTTAAATTTAAATGGATTTAGTAAATAACTTCAAATTATAGGTAAATGTCAAAAATTTATTATTGGTTGCCATGGTTAAGTTGTCATTGCTGGTCACTTTGCAACCATCTTCGTCATGTCGCAGTTTGGCATTCGGTGTGTGTGGGCAACGTAAGTTATACTGCCATAATATTTCCAAACGCGCCAAAACAAGTATAACTTCAAAAAAAACCTACCAAAAAGAAAACATACAAAAAAGAAGTTCACAATCATACCAACCTGATAAATAGACCCTTAGCAAGCAATTTCCATCCATATGCAAGAAGCTTGTAGAGCGCCCTCAGAAGACAATGTTTGTATCCATCTAGAAAAAAAACGAACTAGTGAACTAAACTACTATTGATCAAAACGGTCGCAGGTCGTGTTTATATTGAAAATTAAATGAAACATTAACATATTTTTAATAATTTAAATACACTTATACAAAGAAATTGATAAACTTAATATTAGTGTACGCTATGGAACTATAAACTGGTTTCGATTCCATTCAATCGCTTCTGTTTGACACGAAAGACCCACGTACCTATGCAGTTTATACGGAACGTGGTCGGTAGTTTAAAACCATTCTAGTCACAGGACCAAAGCATGTATAACGTTGAATATTTGAGATACCCCAATCTATGAACCCAAACTCAGTTTGACTCTACAACCGTTCCTTTTGCTATCCCAAATTTACTCTAAAAATTATTCCTTGGAAGGACATGCTGGTTAACCCTTGTTCACATTGTGTACTGCAACTGGCTATAAAAATGTAAGTAAATATAATCAACACAAGATATTCCGAATTTAACAGAAGTAATAAATATCCAAAAAGCTTGCTCATTTTTAATGTGAGCCTGGCCGTATTGAGGTGGTATATGACTGGGACATTTAAGACGTGTTAAAATATTCGAGGTACCTAATCTGATGCATATGTAACAACTACATTTCATATAATACGGTAAAAATTATCAAAAA